CATCCTATTTCATTGACACATCTCTGGCGTTTATGACAAATCAAATAGTGTTAATATACATATCTATGCCCTGGAGGGGCTCAGAGTAGAGCCGCTCCTCCTCCAGCAGCAGCTCTCTCTTGCATGTAGGAAGTGGTTCTAATCTACTTTTATTGTTTGTGACAAAACAAATGGGGCCATTTTAAAATGGCGTGTTTTAGGGGCGTAATTCCTAAAACCAAACACTGATAGGAAAAAGATGGATGGGGTTTTTTAACATTTGAAATGTTAATAGAGGAGGTAGAGACCCTCATGGCTGCACGAAAGGATGCAAAAGGTGAATTTTACATAATATGTCCCCTTTAAACTGAACTCTTCAACCATCCACGTGTACTAACTGGTTAATATTTAAGTGGGACAGAAACAGACTGGTATCATCTTGCTCTATTATTTTCAGAAGAAACTAGATCCATTTTTTTTGTCCAAGTCATGGAAAAGATTCCGCGTTAAAAACAGATTGTAAACACATCTTAACGTACGAAAGTTTAAAGATAGTCTTATCCTACAGTGACAGCTTGATGTTAAACATGCAGAGATTAAGTCACACTGAGAAGAGTACGTTCTGCAGGAAAGAACAGCACATTAACACGAGATTCCGGACGAGCTGGAACTTCATGTTTCCTGATCTAGTTAAAAACAAGCCTTACTCATTTCCAAGTTTGTCCACATCTCTCACCCACCAACCCTGTACTGTTTATCTGAGCGATACCTAACACCTTTGCGTCACTCCGCTTTCATCTGGCTCAGAAGCGTATCAGACATCAGCAAACAATTCTTTGTGCTGGTGCAACACGAACGTGAGGAAATGAGTAAAGCTGAGAACATGTGTGAGGGAACATGTGTTGTTCCCTCCACAGATTGCAAAAAATAAACAAAACTCATCAAACTTGCCACATCTGGTTTTGTCAAATCTTAAGTTCTTGCCTCAAAGTCTGCTGAGTAATGAGTATTGATGTTAAAGCGGACCAAAATGAGCCTGAAGTTGGACTCGGCCTGCAAAGCGACTGCAGTCAGGTGGGTTATTGACCCAGGCTGATAAGCTATCAGCAGACATTCCTGGGTGGATGTGTAGCCAAGGTCAGCAGGGATCAAGACAAGAACAGACAGCAGGTCCATGAATTAACACCAGATTGACGCATTCAGAAAAACTGGATGTGATTCACCTGCAAACAGGAGAAGCAGTTGAATGATTCAGCTTTCATCTGTAAACAGCACATGTCCCTGTGTTCAGCCTATGGACTAGCTGGGATTTTGTACAGACCATTGCTGCTATCTAAATACAAAAACACTAAAACTTTATGTTGCTATTATGTCTTGCATGCATTTAATACACACACTTGACTTAAATAATTGTTTGCGAGAACTGTGTGTTAGAGAAGCAGGAGAAGCAAATTTTCAACATAAGTTGCATTTGTCATAAATGATGTGCCTTCCTGTCCATGAAATCTGCTGCTACAAAAGATATGATGCAAAGTTATGTTCAATGAATCAGCTGCATATTAGAAGCTAACTCCAGTCAGGGAACATGTGATACTAACACAGCCTGACACCGTTTTTGGAGTAAACACACAAAAATGTATTTAAAAATATCTGCTTCTGCGTTTTCAAAGATCAATGTTTGCAAGAGTTTTTCTGGGAAGTTAATGGTTATGTCAGATCGACCTGAAAACTAAACAAATCTGTTAAAATGAAACTAAACAGACTTGAGTTTATCAGACATCTGAAGGATCCTGTGTTACAAGTGACTCAACGCTAAATTTGTCACTCATTCCAAAACATTTTGACTGTCTGACCAGAATTATCACTGTCAAGTGGAATTATGGGAAACGTTGGATCAGGTTTTGACAGGCGTGAATCACAAAGATGACATTTTTGGCTCCGCTGCATCAGTTTTGGTTACTTTCTTCCATGCATGACCTTGCTGAAGACACACAGCCCTTCACACCACTACACACAGATTGTGCATGTGAATCTTGGATTGATTTTGGTATCATAAAGACTTGAAAAGGAAATTTTGTGAAATGTTACATATTACCTTTTGCTTGTGTGCATATAATGATAAAAATTTTATTCAAAGGATAAATTCAAATAAGACTTAGTCCTTCAGGAAGTAAATAGATGACATCCTGCATTTTCATATCTTTTCATACCTGTGTGTGTGTGTGTGTGTGTGTGTGTGTGTGTGTGTGTGTGTGTGTGTGTGTGTGTGTGTGTGTGTGTGTTTCATGCACATAATTTCATATGAAAAGGATCAGATCAGGTGCATGCGCATAAAAGGAGAAGGGTGCACTTTTTCCCCTGAACCAGCCTCAACCTGCACTAAGAGGCTTATCATTCTGTTGCGTTGTAACCTAATAAATAATGTCCACCTTCATAAATACTGATGCTGCTGCTTGCTGAGGCAGGCTTATGAAGTTGACTTACTGGGTTGGAATGACATCATCAATCTAAGCGGTTCCAGGATGACGCACCTCATCAAGGTTTATTAACATTCTGTGCATTCACACAGCTACTCCCACGTTACAGAACAGCTCTCCAGCTTTGTGCTGCAAAGAAAGAGCTCAGAGTGTGGATAGGGTTTAGCTACAGCAGCAGCCTTGTAAGATTTACAAGCTTTATAGTAAACAATAAGCAATAAGTAAATAAAAAATAAATAAACAAATAAAGAAATTTAATAAAAACTGAGTTTACTATTTTGATTTCAGTTTACTATAATGTCAAATGTGTAATAAAGATTTGACAAAGATCAACTGGTGAGTTTTGATGCAATTTTCAAGAGGAGAATTTTTGCAAAGACTAAAATAAACCTGGCCTCTAACATGGAATATACACATTCACTTAATAAAAGCTGTGATCTGGAAATAAAACAGTTATTAGATCAGATGAAGCATTTTTAAATGCTCTATGGGATGTTTTAGGTTTGAAAAATAAATATAATGCTTAGAGATTTACCAGGAGTGATTTGAATAATCTGGAAATTGCTGCTGGGGGTTCAGGTGGGTCTTTGACATGACGTCATTGTTAAACTAAGATGACATTTGGTCTTTAGCGCCCTCCAGTGTATGGAAATGTTTTCACAGAACTAAACTAAATTGCTCATCATGTATGGCTGCATCCGTGTGTGTATTTTCATTATAAACATGCATGTGCAAGGAATTTACTGAATTAGAAATAATAAAAATAAATGTAAAAAGCCTGGTTTCATCCCCAGTATCATTACTGGTTAATAGTCACACAGCTTGAATCCAAATCTTGTTGTACACTTCCATCTTGTGGTGATGAAAAAATCCACCCCTAGACTTGATTACTCTTTTTTTTTAACAAAAATTAACCCTGCAGTGAGCACAACTATTAGTATTTACAATATAGCTGGGTGTGATCAGATCAAATGCATGACCTCTAGCCTAAATGTAAGATATATTATTTTAGGGAATAAGAAACTGTTCCGGTTCAATATTATTTTCCACAATGTTTCCAGTCTCAATGGTCACAGCTTTAAACATGCAAATGTTTTTAAAAAGGCACAATTGTCATCTCCCATTAATGGTTAAAATGTAGATAAATGCAATATGTTATTATGATCCAATGATAGAAGATGATAGCCTAAATCTATACGGACAGTGGCAGAAGCAAAATTATTAGGCTCTGCATGTCATGTATATTTTCACATAAGGTCTACGAGGCTAGGAAGACGAAGTGTCTATGTCCGTTTGTGATGTGCATAAAAGTAACCAAAACATCCTGAAATCAAAGATTTGAGAAGAGATACAAAAAGTCGTGTTTACAGTTTTCAAAATCTTGAGAAAGTCCTTGGGTTTGTTTGTTTTGTTTTTTTCCCAGACCAAATGTATTTGTTTACATGGAGCACCTGACATACCACAATCATCCACTAGGTGGCGGCTTGATACCCCCCAGCTTCAAACAGGTGCTGGTCATAAAATCAGATTGTTGATTTATTTCAGTAATTCCATTCAGAAAGTGAAAAGTATATAAACTATTCATTCATTACACACAGACTGATATATTTTAGACGTTTATTTCTTTCATTTTGATCATTATGATTCAGGGGTCTTCAATATTTAAACTTTAAAAAAAAATCTAAAATTATGACATACTGAATTTGGGTTTTTCATTAGTTGTCAGTTATAATAATCAAAATAAAAGAAATTCATTTTTAAACATCCCTTCTGTTCCTTCATAATCCAGTCACCATGTTGGTGCTCCACAGCAAAGAAGAATTACGTGAAAAAGGCAAAAAGAAGGCTGGAGCACTCAAAGTGATTGAATATTTAATAGGTGCAAGCACAAAAAGGACTAACTTTTCAGGTGTCGAAAAGTTAGTCCTTTTTTGTGCTTGCACCTAATATTCTGTCCCTTTGAGTGCTCCAGCCTTTGTTTATTTTTTTGCTTTTTTTTACATTAGATATATATCAGTCTGGTGTAATTAATTAATCTAATATACAAGTTTCACTTTTTGAATGGAATTACTGAAATAAATCAACTTTGCCAAGATGTTCTAATTTTATGACCAGCACCTGTATTCTAGCACATTGAGATTTCTTTGTGTGGGAAATGTGCTACAAATCAAGCGGTCTTGTCTTGCCTAATTATTCTATAATGGTCTAATTACACATTTGGATGCTGAAATTTATAAAACTCAGTTAATAAAAAATGTATTTTACACAAATAATCCACAAGAACAAGGCAGCATATTTCTATAATACATATTTTCTTTTGCTGAGTTTTGAATTGTTTAGCATTAATGTGTCTGTAAATTAGTCACTAGGTTAAAGGGCCTATAGACGAATCATAATAAATCTGTTTTTGTATTCTCGTTAAATAAATTAACTTTAATTGACAGATTTTTTTAAAGCACCGTGAGGATCAGGTAGCCTGAAAATCTGTAATCCGGTCCGGGGTTTGCGGCTCTCCCGAAGTGTCTCATCTTTCACTCTGGCGCGTGCTCTGACCGTCGTGCTTTGTGTTGTCGGGCAGAAAGACAGTATTCAGGGTGGCGCGTGTCCTGAGAATAGACAGGGACCCAGTTGGCGCGTAGCGTTAAACAAAAGCTAAGTATTTTCTTAAGTAGCCTGCTACCACTTATCATTTACTTCTTTTTTGCACAATGTCTGTCGGAGTGGAGTCTGGATTCTCGAGTGAGGAGGTCTTAAACAGCCGCTTCCCGCTCCACCGAGCTTGCAGGGATGGAGACGTCGGTGCCTTGTGCTCCCTCCTTCAGTGCATCTCAAACCCGGCTGACCTCTCGGTTGAGGACACTTTCTACGGCTGGACGCCCATACACTGGGCCGCACATTTTGGAAAGGTATTAAAGCCGGACCAGGTTTCTTTCGTCTAATGTTTTTATGTGGACTAAAATACCCCGAGTGGGAGCGTCGTCTCGGCCATTTCCTGGTGCTTAAGACTAAAATGCAGCAGCCGTTAAAGTGGACCCAGACAATGAAACTAGCTTCAAGCTAGCGATTTTATTTTATTATATTTTTTATCTCAAACACGTCACGTTTTTGTTGTTTAGTGACGACAAGCTTATTCTGAGCTGGAATAATTTTAGCAAATGGCTGTTTTAATTATTTATTTACATTAAATTGCAAATGCCAGTTAGCTCACGTCACGCTACTTTATTTTACTCTAGAGCTAGGTGTGCTGTTAAAACGCTTGTGTCGCACAGAAAATCTGTTTGTTTTTTTCTTTGCCATCTAATAAAAAAAATACATAAAATAAATGCATACCCCAAAGCTAAAGGCGGCTTCCAAGGGGGTTTTATATTAATCATCCACAGCACCACACTTGCCCAGACCTGCTGCAGCTTTTGAATGAACCTCTTCGGCCATCTGAATTTTCTGTCATCTCTTCACAGCTGGAGTGTGTGATGCGTCTGGTTCAAGTGGGCTGTGGTGTGAACTCTATTACCTCCAGGTTTGCACAGACGCCCACTCACATTGCTGCCTTTGGGGGCCACCCTGAGTGTTTGTTATGGCTACTTCAAGCTGGTGCAGATATTAACAGACAGGTAGGACAACATATGTTGTTGAAGACGTTTTTATTTCTAGGATTTAAAAAGTGGAAAGCTTGATGAGCAAGTGAATGAAAAGAGCAGATCCCTGAAAGTGAAGGAGCTTAGATGATCCCTTCAAAGAGGATCACTCTCATAGGATTATTACCCTGGCAGTATTCCTGCATACTCCCACACTTGACCTAAATTTACATGTGTCACATTTTCTGCTGCAAAAGTTGTCTGTTTTGCATTTTATCCTGTTACTACTGATGGGATTTCATGCTCGGACTCATGCACTGGGGCTATATTTCATGCTTCACTGCGCTGCTGAGAGAGATTGGATTAGTGGGTCACAATGACATAACATATTTTCGTCATCATGCGGCGCAATGATCGCTTTAGCTTTTTGAGTTTTTCCCAGCATTTGTTGAGAAAATTCCAATGTTTATGTTGGATGAATATATTTTCATTTGCTGCCAGACAGCAGAGCGGGGAAGTGTTTGAGCAAAACCTACATTACTCTGTGGTTACAGGCCGCCCTCTCTTTTTCCCTGCATCCATTTGCTCTCACATAAATGTAACAAAGTAGGATATCTGGGTGAAAAGTTATGGTTTTCTGCATTGCCAGATCACATCCTCGTATCATTTATGGGGTGTGTTCTTGGAAGTATAAAATGAGAGAAGCCAGAAAACTGTTTGACTCATTTTCTTGTCGTCACTCAGGACTATGTGGGTGAGACGCCCATCCACAAGGCTGCTCGAGCGGGCAGTCTGGAGTGTATCCATGCTCTCTTGATTCAGGGAGCGAAAGCTGAGTAAGTCCTCTGATCAGTCTTGTGTTTGCATTTCTTTTCCTCTTTAATGTCCAACATTTCATTTGCACCTTTACAAGGGATCCCCATCCAATTTAAACACAGCAGCAAGAAAGGTTTAAATACCAGACATGTCTGTGGTTTATACTTGGATACAAAGATAAACATAAATCAGAGGATTTGCAAATTAATCCTGCAGATCCCCATAAAGATTTTGCACAAGAAAAGCATGGAAAAGTTAAAAAAGACATTCTTGAAATTCAAGTATACACGAGAGCTGCTCTAGTTTAGACACCATTAATAAGAAAAGTCAATTAGCCTTTTTTGTAATAATCTTTACTATAAAGCATCTCTTTGAAGTTTTGAATGTATATCAAATAGAAAAGCCTAACCCTAACACGCAGAAAGTTTAGCTTCAAATGTATCCATAAAAATAATGCAAATTAGCTTTTATTTAGGTTTTATGTCTGCAGAATGCTGAAATACTGTTGCAGTAAGAAAATACTTTCTATATTTAATATTACAAGGTTGATAATATTTTAGTTGTAAAATATGAGTAAAATTGGTGGTGCTCCCTTGGAAATGTGACATGTTTAAATGTAATCCTTGAAATTGTTGTTTGTTTGCAACAATTAGCATTAAGTTGTCCTCTGTGTGTAATATTAGCTAATATCTATGAAAATCATTGCAGAAGTTTAGTGAGTACAGCCTTGGATGCCGTAAGAGGACTTTTAAATCTTACATTCAGTAGTTTGAAGATACATTTTTATAAAATAAGTTAACATACCTTTTCAATGATGACAAGTTATTTTATTGATTATTACACCAAAGTAAGGACAACTTAATGTAAAATTTGATCAAATGTTTATTACCTGTTAGGCCTTATTGCATGATATTTGTTAAAACTAGAGTGGTTCTTTATTTAACATTTCTTTTGTTTTAGTGTTTTACATACACAACTGTGACTGGATTAGCAAATGCACATTGTTGTTTTTACATCCAAAAGGCTGCAGGATCTTTGCTGCAAATAATGAAAATGCATAAATAACACAACTTAAAGGCATTTTCTTGCTGCCAGTGTTCTTGTTATTCTGTAGTAAACATGTAGATAAGAGCTGGCTTATGATCTTCCTGTGCTGTATTTACGAGCCACACCTCAACTGCGGCTTCATTGTGCCAGGATCATTCCAGTTATGGATAATATTTAGCAACTGATGGCATCTGAAGAACAAAGACACACCTCACTTTTAAAACCCGCAGGGTAACAATTATGTGATTATTCTGTAGATGTTTGAACTGTAATTAAACAGCAATTGTGCAAACCAGCTCAACACGCTGAACATTTGTTAGCTTTTTAGTGTTTTTTACACAAACACATAAAAAATGGGACATTTTGCTGGTATTTGTTCTAGTTTCATTTTATAGATGAACCTTTTTCCCCTTCCTGTAAGATTTTATTACAATTTCATTTTCTGCAGCAAATTTCCTGCCTTTCCTTCGAGTCGTTGTGGCGTGCAGAAACCCAGAGCTCCCAGGGGGTTTGTGGAAACTAACTTTATTGTGTTTATCTTCTGGGTCAGTTCAAGCTGAGTTTACTTCATGCTGTGAAAAGAAAAAGTAAACATCTGAGTGAGATGTTACAGCTGAGTGGAAGATATTGATATGTGGGAGTAAAGATGATGAGTTTTTACGGCGTCGAAGGAATCCGATGACCTTGGGTGTTTTTCTCGTCACAAGAAGAAAGACAACTTATTGTTGCCGATCTTAAAAGTTTAAAATCAAATTTCGTACTATTTGTTTTAGTGATTTGGTCACCTAGTGATGAAAGAAAACATAAGAGTGGATGCAATTTTACTGATTAAAAACATCAAAACCAAAATATTTTGGTTTTTACTTTTAGTTGACGTTAACTTTTCAAAACTGTGAACCCCCTGGTTGCTATGGTGATTTCAGCAAGCAAAATGGACGCTTTGGTGCCGAAATTGTAAAAGAGCCTTTGATTCTTATTGGCCTGATGAAATGTGCATTTGGTTATCAGCTGATGAATTTTATTTCTGATTAAAATGATGTGATTTCCTTTTCCCCTGCAGATCAGATACGCAGTTTAGTTCATCATCAGTTCGGTTTCTTGAAGTATTTTTCTTTAATTTAAGATTCAGAAATGTAATGTGGCACAACTGGGACGGAGACTAAAGCACACAAGGTGGGAGTGAGGCTCATGACAAATGACCTGAACAATAACATAGTTTCACATTAAGTAACACATTTGTTAGTCTTTAGTTTTATTTTATAAATGGGTAAATAAAAACGTTGATTTTAGCTACATCAATATGAATCCAAAATTTAAGAATAAGAAAATAGTTGATATGTATAATATTAATAATCTATAAATACATAACTATTAAAATTTGTCCCAATTATTTAATATAAATAGCATGTAGCACAAAAGTTTTGTATAATTTTTCATGCTTTGCAGCTGTAAAAATTTTAATAAATATACAAATTAATTGTTGAATTGATATATAATAATAAGACAATCACATTTTATTTAGTAAGTTGCATTAAATCATTGAAATGAAAAATGACATTTTCTACTACTTCTATTTGCTAGAAGAGTTAAAAAATGGAATTCTACTTGAATAACAAGTAATCATTTAGGTACCACGTGTGTTCATTTAAACAAAAGGGTAAACACACAATCTTCTGTTTTTAATACTTGATTAGAACAACATTTAACTTTCATTTTGAAAGTAATTTTCATATTTTTATGTTTCTGCTTACATTTCATAGCTCATCTTTGATAGGGTTAGGGTACATTAAAGTTTTTATTTTCCTCATGCTCCGGTCTATAGAAGAAACAAGGGCTAGATAAAAAATAAAAATAAAACAACTTCCAACAGTTAATTTACCTTCCTCCATAAAAATGTTGTTCTTATTGAGAAACTTGCTGATCCACGAGAGACGTCAACAAGGATAATTTAACAACCGTCTTATGGACCATGAGCGCTTGTAACTTGAGGACCTTTTACCGTATTCCTTCTCAGATTCCTGCAGCACTTCTTCACTTTCTTAGAAGATTGTTGAGTAAACAGATTCTGTTCTCACTCCTCTTCCTCTCCAGTCCAAATTCTACAAAATTCTACAACTCATCGTCTGACTTGTTCCTTTGCAAGAGGAAATAATTAACCGGTCTTGTAATCATAAGTTAATGATTATTATTGCAGTAGAGTTTTGCACTGACTGGACCTTCTACGCCAGGGAAAGAAGATGTTGACGAATGACGACCTTATTCTAGAAGATATCTTTTTCACTCTTATTTGAACAATGATCAGTATCGGTCAGTCAGCGCCTGATTGTCAACTCGGAGCTTGATGAGTAATGCCTGAACCCAGCTGTCTAGAAGATACAAGAAGTGGAGGATCTTTCAGTGGACCATTCTTTTTTTTTTTTTTTTTTTTAAAAGACACATTTTATGCAACGTCTTCATAGTGATGACATCTCTATCAGCATTCTCAAAAATCTGTTTAGCATTGTTATAAAAACGCCAGATCTAAAAACACATTTTATCAGGCATTCATTGGTTTTCAGGTCATAAATGCCCGTTCATTAGAAATAGTTAAACTAGAATCTAAAATCTGATGACCAGATGTTAGCATCATCACCAGATTCTGTTCCTCATTTGTCATGAGCCTCAACGTGTAAAGCTGGTCCAGTAGTGAGCTAGCCACAGGTAGGGCAGGTCTTAGAGGTTGCCGGTGATGAGAGCAGCTAAGTGAGATGAGTTAGCTCTACTTAGCATCATGTACTGACCTGTTTAATGCTAACATCATCCTGTTGCTATGGTTATTCACTGTCATTTCACTGTACCAGATATGTTACTTTATAAACACAAATGTTTTCCTTTGTATGTCACAGTATTAACTCTTATATTTATAGTCTGTTCTGACATCTAATCATTGTCACCTTTTCCTTTATGAAAGTGACAATAAGTTGCAGAAAAAAAACGTTTGCTGTACTGTTAATAAAACCAGAACCGTACATCTGAATGTTTTTCAGCCATTGAATTGGAAATGACTTGGTTTTTTCAAGTAATCCTAGAAAGGGGGAGAATAGACACTGCTGAGTCTGCCCCGTTCCCTGGGATAGCCGCACTGTTGTGGCATTGAGTGTTCTCACTATCGCTTCCTATCTACACACTGGCAAACTGTTGAGGTATTTCTTGCGGTGATTGGTTTTAATGCTAGGTTTTTTTATGAATCAAAACTGAAGTTTTTGTTTTTTAGACCTGCATGCTTTGCTTATTATCCATGATTGTTCCTGTACTTTAGCTTTTATTTTTTTAATGATTTTGTTTTTGAACTAACCATAGGAGTCCTTTAAAAATGGACAGGTTAAATCACGTGAGTCCCATGTCAACACATAGCATGACTTTAGGCTGCCACTGGAGGGTTAGACAATAGTTAGAAAAGATGCATACTGTGTGCTTAGGACTGAAAAGCAAAGCATACCAGGTAATTACAAAGAATTAACGCTTCCTTTCACTAAAAATCATTCCTAACCAGAGTTATTGGTAAACTGATGCTAGATCAGTGTTTCTGTAGATGTCTGTCTCACCAAAGGAATACTGGTCAGTGACTTTGTTTGTACTGTAAAATTATTCAATAATCTGAATTGTTAAAATAAATAATTCAAAGTTGAATATAAAAATAAATGGGTGACATAGTTTCTTTCAGTGTAAAAATTTCTAATTGTCTTTTTTCTTAAGATTCACCAAAAAGATGACAAAGCAAAAAAATGACATTTTTAAATGCACCTCTAGATTAATTATTAAAGCACTATTAGTTGTCACACACACACACACTTACTGGTGTGTGGTGGAAAATATTCTTCACATTTGACCCATCTCCATGGGGAACAGTGAGCTGCAGACACGACCGCGCTCGGGAACTACAGTATTTGTTGGTTTAACCACCTAATCCAACCCCTTTAGACTGAGTGGGTCCCATGCTTAAAGTCTTTGGTTTGACCCGACCGGGATTTGAACCCCGATATCTCAGTACCACTAAGCCACTGAGCTGGTTAGTACATTAGTTAAATAAATCTATCTTTTGTAACCCAACAGTGGTTAAAACCTCTTTAATTCATAAATTCCTTCTTTACTAGTAATTGTTTTAACTACCCAGGAATGTGTCTTTAAAGAAGTCTGATTTAAGGAGAGTATAGATGAAATGTAATCAGAAATAATCACACTTATTCATCCAGAGGCTTAACCATTGGGATAGATTTTGGTTTTATTCAGCAAAATCATGACAAACAGTAAATTTTAGAGATAAAATTACTGATATTTGCCTTGATATCTGGATTGGTAGTAGCTAAAGCCGACCTTTATCGTGCGCTTATTCGGGGTCGGGTCGCGGGGGCAGCAGCCTAAGCAGAGAGGCCTAGACATTCCTTGTATTCCTTTTTGTAAGACCAGTTCATCTACTTTGGTCATATAATATAATTGTAATCTAATGATAAAAATACAAAAAAAGACAAATTCTTTTTGGAAGCGTTAATTTTGGAGGGGGATGGATAATGTGCAACAAGTTATTGTGTGATCTTTTGTTTGTTATAAATCTTGAAATTATGACGGAATGTTTTATTATGTGCACCTAGGTCTTGAAATGTTTTCATTTTGCTCCGCTGTTTAGATGAGAATGCAGACCAACTTCAAACCCAAATGAATGAGCCAACAGTGACTGCTTACAATTCATCTTATCAGATGTCCTTTTATACACAAATCTCAGTCTACTAAATCAACTTTATTTCAGCTGTAGTTTATGGTAAAAATTATTCTTGCGGATAGTCGGAATTATGTAGCTTTTAATTTCTCATTTTGATTAAAAGTACAAGACTGGATGTGAGCCAGGTGTTCCAGTTCTTTGACAAAGACTTTCCTGTTGGGTAGGAACTCGCTTTGGATTGTGATGATATTTAGACTCAGAACAAGTGCGCTATTGTTTTGACTCTGGCTTATGGAGAGACTTTCCTTCGTTTGCCAGAAACTATTTAATAGTTTTAAGGATATTTATTCTGCCAGAAATGGGTTGATTCCAGTGTTTTTCAGTATTAAACACCCGCAGAAGCAGCTTAACAAACTAGTTTCTGTCATAGTTTTATGTTTTTAGTGACTTTTTTTTTCTATTTTATCATTTTCAAAACTTTGTGAATTGGGTGAAATATATGCACAGCACTGTTTGCTCATTCATTGTTGCACTCAGAAAATCACTTTATCCCTGCTGCAACTGAACATGATTAACACAACTGTATTCAACGGCTTTTTTAAATCTCTTGTTCATTGTTCCTTAAAACCAGACCAAACTCTGAGTCTTTACGGCTTCTGCACCTCATGACGAGATGTCTGGATCTTTGCAGCTTCACAGCTCAGATGGGACCATTGTCATCAGTACGAGGGTTGTTTTGGGATTTCGTCTGAGGATGCAACATCTTGATGCGCTTTCATTGACCAGCCCAAGTCTTCTCTTTTGTCTGAAGATTTCCTTGCTTTACTGACCTCTGCTTTGTGCAGCGAAATACTTGGAATTTGTCCTTTTCAAACTGTACGTGGAGTTTGAAAATACAACTTTGCAGAAATCTTGAGCAGTGTCGACGTTGGAAATAAGATGATAGAAGATTTTCAGCATCCTCTTGAGTTGCAATTTGTCCTGCAGATATCAAACCTTCACAAAGCTCTCCTTTTGTCTTCAGCGACTCATTTACTACAAGCTGTTTCATCACTTCCGGTCCATCGGATTGCTTTGGAGACTTAAACTAAACTCCTAAGGAGCTTCAGTTGTCCTAATCATGTGCTGTTGCAGCAGACACGTTTCCCCTCATTCTGTGGAAACTCTTAAATGATTTTGATTCTGTGTAGATGCAAATGATCCAAAAAGGATCAGTCGTCATCTCATGAAGATGATGAAAAGAATGTGAAAGGTTAGAGCAGCACAGGCTACTTTTGTACATCTGTGAATGTCCATGTGCAAATATTTGCTTAGTGAGTGTGTGTGAGTGAATGTGAATGTGTGCGTGTACGCTTGGGCTTGTCTCATTCTGTATGTGTACATCAAACGTACACTAAGTGTTTCTGACACCGCTCCTTCTCGTTGTGCAGCATGAGGAATGCTGGTGGGCTGACTGCCGCTGACCTGGCCCACGCACAGGGATTCCAGGAGTGTGCTCAAATTCTGGCCAATGCCCTAAACCTCCAGCAAAACGTGGCTCAGTCCCATAACGGGGCATTTCTGAATGGCATGAGCCAGAATGGCGGCCATGCTCTCCCCACCATCCAGGGACGCAGCTTCTTGAATGGCGTTCCCAACAGAAAGCGGTCTTTTGAGGGCATTGAGGCAAACCCTTTGAAGAAGGCCAGACCTAATGGTAGGGCATCATTTTTTATTGTGTTTATGCTGTTTAACCCTCCCCCTGTCCTAATGGGTGACCCCAAGAGGAAAGTTGACCATTGAGCAGGGTTGATGGTTTATCCCTTGAGGTCCACGTGGCAGGGGTGAGGTGGTGCTCACTCCTCACCCCTCCCACATGGACCCAAGGGATAAACTATCAACCCTGCTCAATGGTCAACTTTCCTCGTGGGGTCACCGATTAGGACAGGGGGAGGGTTAAGGTTACTTTCAAAGGAAAATTACTAGGGATGCTCCGATTCGATCGCGATTGGAAATTGTGATATTTCAAATCATTTTAACTTGGGTGGAAAAAGATCCGATTTAACCTTGTAAAGAAACAAACATGACACAATAACTAGGGTTTAGCTTTTATTTCAACAACTTCCTCTACATCAATTATTTTTGTTTCTTAGATGAAAACACCATAATGTCACACAATTTTCAGCAGGCGAGGATTCAGAAACCACGTATCTGTTAGCAAGGAGGCTAACTCGGAGCTAACGTATCACCTCAGGAGAGTGAAAATGTCTGCAATTTGGACATACAGTATTTTAAACTGGACTGCAAAGGCAGTACATCAGCCACTTGTAACGTGTGTGTACTGGGTATTTACCATGATGGTGTCTCCTGAAACCTCGTCTACATTACGTCCTAGTTTCCACTAATGCTCCCAGTTCACTGCGGCAACTCGGACCAAAACGCAGAGCCAGCGAACACCAAAATATACATTATTAAATAGAGAGAAATAGCTGACAGACAGCAGAACGTCAGGGGTCCGCAGTCTCCAGTTGCCATCCATGGTTGTAATGTGCCCAGGTCAGTACAGCAGAGCAAGTAAACAATTAGAAAGATGAGCGACAAAGCTGCTTTTAAGTTCATTCATAATATTAACACGTTTATTATCAATGTACTTCATAAACTAGTGATATTTTTTGGCAGGTAAAGTCAAGAAATTGCATAAAAACAGAAAAAATATATATAAATAGTAAATATATATATATATATATATATATATATATATATATATATATATATATATATATATATATATATATATATATAGTAATAAAAACTTAAAGGACAACTTTAGGATGTGTTTTCCTTTTTTCTTATTTTAATGCTTTGCTGAAGCATCAGGTTGAGACAGTTTTGTCAGATATTCAAAATCTGATCAGAAGCAAAAACTTGATCGGAACATCCCTAAAATGGACTCTTAATATCCTCAAATCTAAAAACTACTTTTGCCAAAACGACTAAAAATATCCAGAAAGTATGATGCACAAAACTTTACTAAACACATGAGAGGTTAAAGTCCAACAGTATCAAAAATTCTGTCAAGTTTTGGGAGTATTTTTAGAAGACTGAGTTCTGCTCTTATTGCTCTCAGCTTTGTTCATGGCTCCTGGGTTTCTGAACGGGAATGGACCACTAGGTGGCACCGAGGAGTCCCAGATGGAGAGTGTGAACATGGAGATGATGGCGTCTGTGACCTCAGGTGGGCCAGGAAGCTTTGCACTTGGGCAGAATGGGTTTGCTCCGCTCCTGGGGCCTTTGGATCAGGACCAGGGGCCACAGGATAAGTCGAGCCCTGCAACTAAAGAGCTGGAAGTCATCACTGTGGCATCGATGCAGACTCCTTGTCGCTGCACTAATTCTTATGCTTACCTGTAAAAGGGCTTGTGTGTGTTTTAAAACACACTTTTAATACTCCTGGTTTCAGTGTCGAGTTGTTTTGAGTTCTAAACACGTTTGTTTTTGTTTGGTGAGGAGTGAGTGGATTTGATACTTTTCCCTGTAACTAATGGATGGATAAAAGTTTTAAGATGTTTTTTGTAGTTATATCTAAATATACATTTATATATTGAAGTTATCCTTCAAGTTAAACAGGCAGACATGCAATTCTTGGCTCATAATCGCCAAAAGATTTTGTTTTGCACAATTTCAACCAGTGAATACAGCTCAGATCATTAATTAGTGATTTTACAAATCCCAGTGCTTTAATTAGAGAAACAGTCACCTGAAAATGTTGTCATTGTTCTGTTTTTGAGAGAATTTTCAGATCGGTTACAGGATTTACAGATGAGACTTTTTGACTAAAACTGATATATTCATGCAGCTCCATTTAAACGGATTATCTTGAACGTATAACTGAGGGAACATTTCTAATTATTTAAGTACCAGTTTAAAATCTGTTTGTTTATATAAAAAAAATTAGAGCGATTAAGCACTTTTCTGCATAAACGCTGAGAAAATGCTAATTGATGTTATGCATTATCTTAACTTTTTTATGCCAAAGCATATCCCAACATGAATGTAGCTCGAAAGGAAGAAATAATGGCTTTCTTGTTTGTAGCTGGTGCATGAGAGTAAGATTTGTTCATTTGTTTTTATTTGTTCTAAAATTAGGTGGATGTTTACTGTATGTGTTATGGTGTTTTTACTGCAGCTTCTGTGTATGTACCGTCTAATCAAATATTTGTTTTACAAGCAGTTTTTTATTAACCTGCTCAAGAAAGACTGCATAGATTTTTACTTTATGCAAAATGCCTTATTTCTTGAACTCAGATTAGCAGTTTAACAATATTTTAGGTTATGTTTCTGCTTTTAAACATAGTAGGGAAACTTCTGCTTTGTGTTTGTGTAGTACTATTTCATGTTAAAGATGGTTTGTGTGTATTTTTAATGGTGGAAGGTGGGTGCTAGTTTAGCTTTGTACTTAACTGTAAAATCATTAAATGTGGATACATTTTTATAAAAATGGTTGTGGCCTTTAATTTCTTCATTGGGTCAAATCTGGCTTTTTTTCTCCGCTTTAAATTTTTTTTCGATTACGTTGGAGACAAATGCACATTTAAAACGTATTGTTGTAATGTTAATCTGTCCTGTTAAGGTTTTGATGACGTGAAGTCAGGAAGACATTTTCTCCCCTGCAAAATCCAACAGAACTGCAAAACCTACAGATCAGAAGGTGACCTACTTCAAAACGTTACTGGGTCACAATGAGAGAAGTTACATAAGGATCTTGGGAGTATTTCACAACTTATTGAACATGGTTTGTGCGTAACCAAAGGGTTATAGTACTTTTGTCGAAACCGGGTCACAAAAGGTCCTTAACATTTTTTAAAATTGGCTTCACGTTGTAAAAAAATTGTGCAAAACAAACTCGAGTATTTTCCCTGTCTCTTGGTCTCTTCACATTCAGATGGGGTGTGTTTTAGGTATGTTCCAATATTGACTATTTTGTTTTATCTTACAGTGACAGGAGGAGGGCATCTTAGTCAGCACACCTACAGTGAATCACCTGAGATCATTAGCACTGCATGCAGCCAGCTGGAGCACCAGAAGTCTGTCAAAGCAGAGCAGATGTATGACCATACCCTCTACAGCACCATGCTTCTTTATCATGGATCCTAAAGCACACTGTTGTTTCAGCCGTGGTTTGATTTAGGCCCATTTAAGTGTTCATCTGCCTTAACGCCACTGAGTGGTCATGTTTTGTTATGAGATGTCTTTTGTTCAGCTGATAAATTAGATACGTGTCATTAAAACAAACTTAAAATTGAGTTGTTTTTTATGTTTAAGGTTTTTGTGTCTGAGAAGGTTCTAAAGTACAAAGCATCTGTGTGGAAACACTGCCAATACATATTCAGACAAATCCACCTTATGTATCATGAACAATTAAAGAACTTTCACAAATAGTTCATTTTTTCTTTTTGAAGTTTTTTTTTAAATGCGTGCTGGAGGGGTTTTATATCCGAATTATTAGTGTGAATTTAACAGCCAACATACAATGAGTAAAAAAGTGACCAAAGTCCAGAGAAAAACTTTGAAAGAGGCCTGATTGGTAATCAGATGGGTCATGAACCCATAACTGGGAGAGTAGCTCCAGCTGATTCCAGGAACGAGCTATGGGATCTCTGTCCAGAGTCCTGGGAACAGCTAAGATAGAACAGCAAGCCCCCAGGCCTCCGTGTACTGGTCAGCTGAGAAAAACACCAATCTAATGGGAACACTAGGCGCTCACGTGTAGGAAGGAACACACCACGCCTGCCACCAAACCGACCTTCATTATCACTGCGCAGCACTAACATTACGTCACGCCCACCGACAGTCGATTCTTTCTACAGAATGGGGGAGGGAACGTTCACTTTTTTGACAAAACGTTGAATTTAATGCATATTACTCAGAAATAAACCACAACGAACAATTAAAATCATTTTGATGTTTCTTACTATGCATTTTAATCACATATAAGGGCTGCTAATTTATGTTTGGCGTCACATTCAAGCGCATTCCACCCCCCTCATTTACGAAATGGTATAGTCCTGTAAATCTATCCGGGCAAACCGGAGAGCCAGGGTGCTGAAGACCGACGCAAAACGTCGACGCCAGTGACAAGAGCTAACGTGAAGTAGTCAAAAAAATATATATAAATATAAAAATCTTTACCTGTAAGATAACGAAGAAAATTTTGGAATTTCCTGACACTCTAGTGCTGTTTTGGATAAATAACTCACAGGTTAAGTCATGTCAACCCCAGCTAGAAGAAGACTCATGAGAGATTTTAAACGGTGAGTTGGCCAGAAATTTGCCCGTTTTGTCAAAACAGCTAGCATTAGCCTAGCTTATGTCGGCTTCTTAAACTGGTACTTAACGAGTAACTTTAAGAAGCAGGTCCACCTCCATTGTAAATTGCGGCTTTAGAATCTTGATTGGTTTTATTTTGTGCGTGTGTGGAGCCCAGTGATGTTGGATGTTAAGTCGAGAACCATACGATGCTAGTTGCTAGCTTACATGCTAGCAACAAATAATTTTTGTAACATTTTATTTTGGACAAGATCAATACATTATTTTAAAACGATTTAAAAACGGTGTTGGATGATGGAAGATGTAGGTGAAAAATGCTGTTTGAACCTTCATTTGTTCTGACAGTAAAGGAACATCATGTTCATAAAAGTTTATTTTCTTTTTTACGTAGGCTTCGTAGTATTCATCTGAGTTTAATTATAGTTCTATAACGTTTCACTATTTATTGTAAAAGTTAGGGTTATTTATTTATTATTGGGACAGAATATTTTATGCATGATCATATGTTTTGATCAGAACTTTCTAAGTTACATGATATGCTTTTAGAAATGTTTAGAATTGACTAAATATGATTTTTTTTATGCTCTCTTGAGTTGAGTAGTTGCAATATTAAACGTAGATTAGCTTTTCTTGACTTTGTACACTATATATATGGAGAGGGAGAGAGAGGAGCAAGCACTGATTTCTATATAGTAAAAAAAAGCTAAACAATATTTTGGATCAGTCACAAGTTCATTTTGTTTCAAAGGCTACAAGAGGATCCTCCAGCCGGCGTTAGTGGTGCCCCATCTGAAAACAACATCATGGTGTGGAATGCAGTCATATTTGGGTAAGAAGAAACTTACAGGCCTCACAAATTAGCTTGTGATGTGTGAAAAAAATAACAATATTCATTGTGTTCTTCAATCTTACAGCCCAGAAGGAACGCCCTTTGAGGATGGTATGGATCTTTATTTTGTGTAATAAGAATTAAAATCAGAATCAAAAATGTGAAACGACTTGTAAAATGTAACCAATGTGATTGAAACATCTGAAAGTTGCCATTAGGAAGAATTTTGCTACTTCCTCATCATCTTTTTTGTTATTATTAAAATGTCACTGCTCAATAAGAGGAGTGAATCACAAGATTTTTTTGCTAAGTTCACCAGCCTTAGCCCTTCCCCCTATATCACTGGATATGTACCATACTTAGTAACCTGTTTGTTGGCAGATGAAATGTTTTGCTCAGGTTACATTGGCCAACAATGCCGAATATTTTTCGGTCATCGTAAACTTGCAATGTGTTTGAATGTTCTCCTTGTTTTTGTCTCAGGTACATTTAAACTCATTGTAGAATTCACAGAGGAATATCCCAACAAACCCCCTACTGTACGATTTGTCTCTAAGATGTTTCATCCGAATGGTAGGAGAATGTAATATAATGTTATATGTTATGTGGGGTGGTGTTTCATTGTGTTTTTGTCTACAGTCTATGCAGATGGCAGTATATGTCTAGACATTTTACAGAATCGCTGGAGTCCCACCTACGATGTGTCTTCTATTCTTACATCAATCCAGGTGAGAAATATGTAGCGGAAAAGGGTTTCACTTACAAAAATGCATCAATTTGTAAATTGGCTGACTTATTGGTCTTTAAACTTGTGCAAAATGTGTTGAATGTTTTCAAAACAAAAAAATGTGATCAGGATATGCTTTTCTTATTTACCTTTAAAATGAACTATGTTGACATTTACCGTGCTTTCATCCCACAGTCCCTGCTTGATGAGCCGAACCCCAACAGCCCAGCTAACAGTCAGGCAGCTCAGCTGTACCAGGAGAATAAGCGGGAGTATGAGAAACGTGTGTCTGCAATAGTTGAGCAAAGCTGGAGGGACAGTTGACCTGGCAACCCTGAAGCTGCTCGCTCCATCGTTAAGCTGTGTGTGCTGCAAGTTTTAGTGGAGTAACTCTTAATTTTTTAAAATTTTGCTCCTTTTTAATTTTAAGCATTTATGCACTTTACCTTTGACTTCACCATAAAGTGTGTTTTTCTTTCTCTGTTTTGGCTCAGAGGTTTTTTTTTCCCCTAAAATGCCCCAATTTTCTAGTCAGTCAGGGGAAATGTGTGAATATTGCCTTGATGTTTTGTCAATATGGACTAACGGGACATCACACACACACACACACAGAAATAATCTGGTGTTCTTGCTGTAGAGGCTCACCACTACCTGTTTAATCTAATGTCCACCAAGGCACATCAGTCATTTTCTGTTTTGTGCTCGATCATTTGTCAAGTTGATTTTCACGAGGCAGTGAAGAAACGAGCAGCCTGAGCATCAGACCTCAGCTACATCACATCTTTACGCTGTGTTATTTGCTGTGTTGTGAACTGTTACGTGCATGATGATGTGTTCACAGTCATGTTGAGTTCTTGTGTATATATCTGAAGAAACCTGCAACGGAATGATGTACAGATTTTGCACTGGTTGTCCCTCATGTCACTTTTTCCAATACTTGTAAATAAAAAAAAAAGCCTACGTCATCCTTATGTAGGAATGTGTACATGTGCCTTTTTGTCTGACTTTAAACATGTGACTATGTTTTTGACTAAGTCTTGTCCCTTGTAGGAGATAAAAATCAGCCCAAAACCACCCAAAACTATGACAACTGTGACTGCTTTAGCTCTTAGGCTCAGTTTTCTTTTTCACATCACCACATGTCCACATTTTATCCCACTTTAGACTGGATAGCAGATCTGCCAGTGAGATTTCCTTCATTTTATTTCTCGGCGGGGAGGGGGGGAAAGGAGCCAATAGATTTGGCAAAATGACATTATTCTGGAAGAGACAAAAAATGAGTGCTGTAATCTGAGTTAACTGTAAAAAAAACTCACAATCAGGAAAAAAATAACTAGCAAAGAAATTGACTAAATGGGGGAATAAATCAAATCATGCACCTAAATGTTACATTTACGTTATGTCACGTTGTCTTTTAAATTAGTTGGCTATTACCATACAGGTGGCAAATTCTTACAGAAAAACTTTAGGTAATGCATTCAGGGTTAAAAACAGTCTAACATCTATATTATCTGTTGGAAGGTTAGAAAAGCTTTAATTTGAACAAGAGTGATTTTAAAATGTGCTTCTACATTAATTTACTTAAAAATGTAGTTATTAGATTCTACTTATCTGAAATGTTGCGCTTTAAACCATATAATTATAATATATTGCATGTAATTTAAAATTTTCATATATTTGAATACACAAGTCCAAGTTAGTGGTGGCACCAGTGTATGGCAGGCCTCGCTTCTCTCAGTTTGCCCCACCAGTGTGTGTGATTGTGTGTGTGAATGGGTGAATGACTGATTGTGTTGTGAAGCACCTTGGGGGGTTGTAGAAGGCACTATACAAATACAGACCATTTACCACAAGTTCATCAAATTAAATCAGCTGTTGTTATCAAACTTTCAGTAGCTTCTTTACTAAATTGTTTATTGTTTGTATTTGGTTTTTATTTTATGAGTAGTTAATACATTTATTGTTAAATCCATAACACATTAATGTTTTCCTGTTTAAAACAAAATTTGAACATGTATTATAATTTATTGGTCTTTGAACTCATAACTAATAGTTTTATATCTGACATGTTTGATTAGAAACAAACTCATGTTGGCAAAATTTTTTAACTAAAAATATTCTACTTTACCTACTAATAATTTAAAGATTTTTTTAAAAGAATAGAAATCCTTGTAAGTCAACCGTGGATGTAGTTTTACCCTGTAAAAACAAGCGTTTATAAGAGTTATTTAGTAAAAAACACTTCCTCTACTTTTTTCGAATATTTTTGCCTTGAAAGAACAGGGAATTTGCGCCCTCTGGTGGCAGCAGAACAGAATGACACTCTGGTTTCCAAAAGCTTTTGGAAAAGGGAAGATGGGGAGTTGCCCTCCAGTGTTAGAAAGCTGCTACTACACTTGTGTTCCTTTTAGCCTTTTAGAAGATAATATTTTAGCTTCTTATCTTAAAGGTGCATTATGTAGAAACCAAGCCCCATAATTCTGCAGCAAATATGAAGCCAAAATGGAAGTGGCAAAAATTGCACTTCCACTCTCATCCACTAGGGTGTGGCTAGCCTAGTGAACTAGTCAAATCCTCATTGACTCCCATGTTAAAAATGCCCATTTCACAGCAGAAATAAACATGTCTACAGCCTGGTTAAAAAAACATTTTAGTTTACATTCATGACAACTCTGAGGGGGGTTAAATTTTTTGTAACTCTTCTGTTGAAGTGGAATTTAATGCTTAAAAATCTGAATAATTAATGAGCATCCACGTGACTTCAGAGCTAGCTCCGAAGAAAGGCCTCAGCCTGGACCTCGGCCTCCCGTTACTAGATGCTTGGCAATTTCGACTCTGAACTTTAGTTTTGTCTGTGTGATTGTGTTTGGATGTTAATCATGGAATTTGTTGGACAAAAGAGCAAGCTGTGGTTACTAACAGACCATCCAAGCAGTTTCTGCTTCTTTTAATCATTAAGTAAAATTATATTTCTGTACTTTATTTTGCTGGTTGAATGGGAGGAAATGCTGTGTCATATAACTGCTTGGTCAAACATTTTAGTGAGGCTGCATAAGAAACTTAAGCGGGTGCCCAGCTTCTACTGTCTCCTGCCTGAGAATAGCATGCAACTTCCTGTTCCCATTTCCCGGGGCAGCCAGGCCGGCTCTGAAGCTTGGCTGTAGTCATGCTGGTTCTCTGTGGAAGACCACAGAAACACTGCAGCTCATTTTGTTGACGCTGCTTCACTTTTGAGATGCTCAACCGCATTTATCTTGCTGAAAACACTCTGCAAACCTCAGTTAGCTTCGGGTTGGTATGTAGCTAATGTCCCACTGATCTCCGGCTTCCAGAGAAGGGAACATCTACAACGGTGGACACGCAGCTCTTTCACCGCAGTGGACCAGCAAAGCCCAATGTCCTTGGTCAGCTTAATTAGCAGAGTCACTCTACCACGTATTTCTTGCCAAAAATGCCTGGAAAAACTATGTTAGCTTCAGGTTAGCATGTAGCTAACTTATCTCTGACGTGGAGCAAGAGCTGATGTAAAAGGCCACGGCGCCCGGTTACGATCACAGCGGCCTGAGACTCAGCTTTTAAGTTAACAGTCCCAGTCCATATTAGATCTCCACAGGTGATCAGCATGACTACAGCCTCGCATGGGAGCCAGTCTGCCGTGTGGGTGGGATACCCTGGTACAAGGAGCCTTTCTTAGCTTCTTGGGTTAGCCAAGTTAGCTAGTAGCTACACTTTTCCCATTTTTGGATTGTCTGGCCGTGATGGGACCTGCGACACAGTCAAAATGGCTTTTTGCTGGCTGCCATCAAATTACAGTTGTCGGCGCTGCAGCATTAGCTTGCAGGAGACACGGCAACCCCACACTCACTGATGGTAAACAGTAGTTAGGTTCCTCCTTCCTTTTATTTTGAAAGAAGAAAAACTTACAGTCCACGCAGCCAGCAACCAACAGACTCTTCTGGGATTTTCTCACTCCCGATATTATTACATACTGCACCTTTAATGAAGCCTTCGAAATTCTTTCTTTTTGTACTGCTGTTAGCTAGCTGCTGATGGCAGCTGTTTTAGCTAATTGACTTCATCTTGTTTAATACAGATAATTGAAATAGATAAAGAGTTTTAGTCTTTAAGTAGTTTGCATAGCTGAAGACATGCTGGCTTTCCCGTTATCTAGACTAACTATGCTGTTAATGTCAGTTTAACAATTGTAATAATTTTTAAGTGATATGTTATTTTGGGGGTTCTACAGGTTTAGCTTATGAACACGGTAGAAACTGCTCGTCTCCAGCAGAGGGTGGAAAAATCCTTATTCTCTAAAGCCAGATACTAAAGGGTTCTTATGTTTCCATACAGTTGTCCTAAATAAAACACCAGTCCCTTATTGACAGAGTATGTGTCCACCAATGAACACATTTAACCGATTACAAATTTTAAAATTTAAAGTATATTTAGACAAAGAACAAAATGTTAAAATGAACCATTTCTATTGATACATGTTACTTGTTACTTTAGCTGTATTTGTATTTTGCCACTGGAGGGGAACAGTTCTCCTTAATCACTTAAGGCTATTTTAAATCTGAACTTGTAGCGCTATAGCTAGGGGAGTGTGTACAGTAGTGTGACACAATTTAGCTCAGATTCAGTTTTATTCATTGTGAAAATTTAGAGGGGTGGCATGAGGAAAATGCAGGTGTCTCACGCTCTGCGTGAGTCAGTAACCATATTGGATACATTACCTTCAAAATTTACTTGAGCTGTTTGATCATGTAGAAAACAAAAATTTTACAGTTGTGAAAATTATTCTAAGGTTAAGATCAGTGGGTGGCATTCAGGAAAAATCTTTCAACTTCCAGCTTACTGCTGGCTCAACTTGTTTTTCTAAAGATCAGACATTCTTCGTGGTCTATAAATGATTTATTTATTAAATGAGTCCACAATGTTGAACACAATGCTGCACGCACAATGGAAACAAGGGATGCAAATGCAGAACAAGAACAAGCAGGTTTACTGTGGCGATTCTTCACAAACAACCCAGATAGACTCATTTTGTTCCTCGGTCCTCCAGCAGTTACAAAAATAACCTTTTAAATTAGATCCCTCTTATCTATACAATACTGCAACACGGCATCCATTTTAAATGGAATCCAAGACATCTGTTTACTGACCTGGGCTGAGTAAGCTACCTGTTATAAGCTCGCTCCTTTTTAGCCCGTTCCAGAGCCTTGTCCATGGTCTTTTCATTTTCACCTCGGCACTTGGGACAGTACCACTTTCCTTTGGGCTTGTGATTGAGCCCCACACAGGAGAAATGAAACCATTCAATGGGACACTCATCATTATCACAGCCGATCATCTCGCCGTAGGAGACCTGCTCACACAGACAGTACGTCGGCTCATCCGGGTCGATGGGCAGGTCTGGAGGAGACACCTCCCTCTCCGACTTTCCTTTAGATCTTTTCTTCTTCTTGGATGACGTTTTGGCCCTCTTTTCCCGAGGTGTACCTACTTCCTCCGCATGATCCAGAGCTCCGTAGCATTCTCTGCTTTCTCCATTTTTCTGCCGCCTTAAGCGTTTTCCTCCAGCTTTGTCTGCGCAGCCAGAACCCGGGGTGACCTCATCACGCTTCTTGTCGTTGTGGCTGGATTTCCCTGGGGTAACCATCGAAGATGACGAGGACATCAAAGATGCTGCACTGGTTGTCATAGATGTTGTCGTGGTAACATGATTTTCTGGGACTTCTTGGGAGGAAACAAGGAGTTCAGAATGCCAGTCAATTTGTCGTGTTCGATTCTCCACCAACTCCACCTAAAACAGAACAAGGAGTTTCGTGGTTTACGGTCATGCTTTTCTTTGACTAAATGCAGAGGACTTTGTCTTCAGAGTACTCTAATTAGCTGTAATTTATACAGCTTTTCTTGACTTAAAGAGCAAGTCACCCCCAAATCAACTTTTTTCCCCTGATAAACTATATAAATGCGTGTCTAGTCGTGCTGCAGACGTGTATAGTCAATGGTTTTGCACTTTGGTGGATTTTAGTTAAAATTTTAATTTTCTGCCTAAAGCTGTCAAGTGTTGTGCAGTTGTCAGGTAAAAACTCTGCACTGCAGTTGAATTTAAATCTGCCATCCCTATTGGCTAAGAGGTACCCTAGAATGTTAGCTGGTACCATATGATGTCACAATGTCGTTGTGAGCCTGTGTGTGTGTATGTGTTAGTGGCTCTGCCCTCTCAGTCTGCTAGGCAACAGCATTTGTTGCATTTTTCAAACAGGAAGTGGGAGTGGAGTAATACTCTGGTAGGGATGACTTGCTCTTAAAAAAAAAGAGGTTTTATATGCTAAAATATAAACAGAAATTAGGACAAACAGTGACCCAGCTGTGCAAATCCAGGCTTTATGTAAAATATAGCACAGCAGCTCTATCATGTTCGTGACGTACCATCTGCCCAGCAATCTGAATTTTTTCATCCCCAAGCTCCTGGCTGCGGATCAGTGCCCTCTGAATGGATAACTGGAGCTTCCGACGCTGAAGTGGGTCGGACTCACGCCGATACTTTTCATAAGCATCGTCCAGCTCCTTCAGCACATCTGTTAATAACCCAAATCAAATAGAAATAAGAGAAGATAGCAGAATTTAACTAAAGTGCCTAAAAAGGCACATATAGAAACATCAGATCTGTCATACCAGACAGCTTTTTTCCCCTTTATTGTGTATGATTTGCGGCTTCAGTACCTTGATACTTGGCATCAATTTCCCTCATGAGGGAAACGCTCCTCTGCAAGTCAAAAGGCAGAGACTCCACCAGATCCAAATACTCCTCAACATAATTGACAACTACATGGCCTGGGTCACCGTTGGTTGGGTTCAACATTATGGGTCTTCTTTAACCTGGGACAATCCTCCACCTGCTAAACAAAATTGTTAGTTAGCATTTTCACTGCAGCTTCTCACATCACCTTTTTGTGAACCACCCCACGCATGAAGATGTTGCAGAGCAGGCGAGCTCCTTCAGCAACAGCTGCCTCCTAACTGCACAAATCTCAGATAGTCTTTCTGACATATCAAGATGGATGAAATCCCACCATCTCCAACTCAACCTCTCTAAAACTGAACTACTTGTCATCCCAGCGAAACCATCCATACGGCACAATATCTCATTCCAAAATGACTTCCTATGTCTGGCTCCTTCAAAGGCAGTTCAAAACTTGGGTGTTGTGACCAGCTGGCCTTTAAAGATCACGCTGCCTCTGCTGCTTGTTCGTGCCGCTCTGCACTGTATAACATACGAAAGATCAAACCATACCAAACACAATATGCCACCCAGCTCCTGGTGCAATCTACTGTCATCTCCCACCTTCTAACTGGTCTTCCAGCCTGTACTGTGAGACCTCTTCAAATGGTCCAGAACAAAGCAGCGCGTCTGGTCTTCAATCAGCCTAAAAGAGCATGCTACCCCTCTATTCAATGAGCTCCAATGGCCACCGCTAGCTGCACGCATCAAATTCAAATCGCTAACACTAGCATACAAAGTCCTGGATGGTACAGCTTGCAAAAGCTTACGTCACGTCCGCTCCGGCCATCGAAGGATCGTCATGTAGCAGTGTCTACACCACGCTCAGGACAATCCAGACTCTCCATGTGTTGTTTCACAGATGTGGAATGACCTACCAAGCACTACTAGAACAGGAGCTTCCTTGTCGATTTTCAAGAAGCTCCTGAAGACCCAGCTCTTCAGCGAGCATCTTCTAATCCAACAGCACCCGTCCCCCGCTCTACTGCACACTTCATGTTCGCTTCCCTCTATAATTCATTATGCTGCCTCACTGCCACCTAGGATTGACTGAATAGTGTTTGCTGTTAGCCTCAATCTGATAGCTGGATTATCACCTGTAAGTCACTTTGGACAAAAGCGTCTGCTAAATACATAAACAAAGCAGCCTCGTTGTAGATCGTTCCTCTCAGCAGCAGTCAGCCTTTATAATCACCAACAAACTCAGTGTTTACATCCCTGCTTTTATTTACAGTGTTTTCACCTTTCTTGTAAATTGTCTATTTATTTAATGTACTAATTCTTACTGAACAGTTTATTTTTATTTTTGCTGCTTTTATCATCTTCCTTTACCTTTGTGTGGATGGATACTTGCATTCACCTTTAACTTGCAGCTAGCACACCTGCCGAATTGAACAATGTCACTATTCTGTTCTGCTCTTATGTTTGTTTGCAAATAAATACTTGAATTTAATTTTCACTGCCATAATTTTTAAAACGGAGTAGCTATTAATTGTAAGCATTAATAATTCTCATACATGCCATGTGTTAAATGTAGTTAGCCATCCTGAAAGTGCTACAAGCACGATCTGTCAATCGCTTTACTTATCACCATAACTTACTTGATAAAACATTTATTTCCCTAATAAAAATGTGTACATAAAAATACCTTCGTAGTTCTGTGCACATGTAGTGATGTTTATCAAGATGGAAAGTTTACAATTAATAAAATTACAGAGAGGTTTGAAACCACGGCCCTCTTTAAAAGTTACGCATAGATCGAATTCTACACAAAATGTCAAAAAGAGGTAAGATTTGCAAAAACACTAAAGGTTTATGTTGTGTGTAACAAAGACCGTACCTGAATAGCACCACTGTTCAGGCTTACGCCATCACTCCTACATTCACGGTAACGTAAATATTATAACCATTTTTACGATCACAACAAATTTTACATAAAAATGCGCTAAAATGTCGCTTGAAACATTTTCTCTCGTTTGTTTTGCCGTCAGTTTAAGTTAGCATGCTAGCTTGTACCGTTACTACATGAAACGTCGCAAAAAGGACAAAGCCCAAACACCAGACTGCGGACGGAATACCGAACGCAAACAGCAAACATGACAACTCACCTCTGAATATATAAATATTTATTGTCCTTTTTCTATGGTTCACTGTTCTTGATGCTATCGCCGCATAAAGCTAACCATTGTTTAACTAGCTGATTTGCCGCAGCAGTGCGCATGCTCCAAACTTTAGAGCGCAGCGAGCGGTCCACGGCGACAGTGACACGTGATTACAGCAGCCCAGCTGGTTAGCAGAAGGGGGCGTAACTTGGAGCTCCACAGGAGGTCAGACAGCTTTCTGTCTTCTCCAGCAGCTGTCTGTTTCCAGAAGAAAAATGCTTCATTATAAACTTCAAACTAAATTTCATTCATTCATTTTATTTATAAAGCCCCTTCCCAAATAAAGGGGCCCGAAGGTGCTGAACATAGTGCAGAGAAGCAGCACAATAAAACAGCTCTATAATAAAATGCAGAGATAAAAACATTTAAAAACAAAACGAGCTAAAAATAAAAAGTGATCAAAAGCATGAAAATGTGAATACAAACAACTAAAAAACAGATCAAAAATACAGCTTAAGTCTTTCTTTAAAAGCGGGCAGCGATGTGAACTGTTTGATTTCTTGTGGGAGTTGGTTCCAAAGCCGAGGACCCAGAACTGCAAAGGCATGATCACCCCTAGACTTACGCTTTGATCGCGGTACCACCAAGAAGTCACTCTGACCCATAGTGATCTTGCAGGGACACATCGGGCCAGCAGGGAGGCTAAATATGGTGGCGCTGATCCAGACAGGGATTAAAAAACAAGGACCAGGATTTTGAACAAGATGCAACTCTTCACCAGTAGCCAGTCCAAAGCTGTCAGGAGGGGAGTGACATGCTCCCACTTACGTGCTCCATACGTTTTGGACCAGCTGGAGCCGAGTCAAGGACTGGCTCAAGCCAGCATACAGGGAGTTGCAGTACTCTAGCCTTGATAAAAGCATTGGCTACAGTTTTCAACTCCTGTTTTAAGATTGACTTAATATTAGATAAGCACCTTAACTGATAGAAACACGAACGAACAACAGAGTTCACCTGACTATCAAATCGTAGACCAGAGTCTTATCTTGACACCCAAGTACGTAATCACGGACTTCTCGTAGGAGAGCAACGATAAAAGGTCCAATCCATGTGGCTGGCTGTCATTTGGAGTAAAAACTATTATTTCAGTTTTTTCCCTCAATGGAAAGGAAGTTGGACCCCATCCATCATGCAGGCAATTCACCAGCTGCTGTATGCTACCTCTGGCCCCCTGTTTAACAGGCATCTACAGTTGACAATCATCAGCATAGAGATGGAAACTAATGTGTTTTGTAAACAACAGTCCCAGTGGTAGCAGATAGCGGGAGAACAGCAGGGGGCCCAAAACAGAGTAATTTAAATAATAAAAAAATTCTTCAAAATCTTGCTTATTTAACAATGAGAAATTTGGCATCCCTAGAATATTTCCTGTCATTGCATTTTCACTATTTCAGTGACAAAATTGAGTATTTTTTCTTCTTTAAATCATTATTTAAAACACATCTGTTAAACTTGTTCACTAGATACAGGATTTCCTTGAAGGGTTGTCCATATCATGACCTTTATTTAAATTCAGCACAACACAAACACATATTTAATTTTTTATAGCTTTACAGAGGAAGTTCGATTGTTTTAACTTTCAAACAGCTTCCTGAAGGCCGGCCCAATCTCCTGGATCATATCTGAGGTGGTGGTGGCCCTGCCGTGCTGCTGAAACGCTTGACTGTTGCACTGTCGGGTTAGAGAGCAGGCACCAAAGGCTGCTACCACAGAGGGATTCACACTGAAAGAAGACATTACACACGCACGCACACTGTAAACAAACTTTTATATGCATGCATTCTTTTACATTTTGATCCGATATTATAAAGCTCACCTTCTGATGACTCCTGCTGCAGAAGCAGAATACGCCCAGTGAGCCAGCACACCCAAGGAGCCAGACAGGAGATCTCCCTGTCCACCACATCTCCTCCCACTGCCCTCAACACTGCATGAGTAAACTAGAAGCAAAGACACACACACGGTCACAAAAAGATGCCTTAAACCCTTTCAAGGGCAGCAAATCCAACTCTAATATTGATCAGCTGTGTTTGATACCCACCCTTGCTTCCATCTGTAATGAGATCCTGTTCCCCCTTTAGCACCATGGTGAGATTACCCAAAGTCCCACTTAGCTGCATGACACTGTGTGGCTGATCTCTGCTGTTCACGGGCTTGTGGTGCTGAAACACGAAAACATGCATCAACACTCAAAAGGTTTGAGCTACATGCAGCAAATTACTAGCTAAAGCTTGGTTTATGCTTGACGCATTCACTTTCCGCTTGGTGATGCGGCTCGCGGATGGAACGCGCTTCATAACTCGCAGCGTTTATGGTTCATGCGGCTTGTCTCTGCGGTAAGCCGATATTCTCCCAAACTGTAGGGGGCAGCATGGAGCTCTACGGCATGCAACCAACACTACACCATAGTAGAAGTAAAAATTACTGTTTACAACATGGCATTCCAGCATTTTTAACAGCGTCCTCGTCTTTTCCGACAGTGCGAGCTGTTTCTCTCCAAGAATTATTAACATGTTGATCACGGTGATCTTTGAGAGCTGAATCATACAAATGTCTATTTACGAACCTCTGCCATACTAGTTCTTGCCAGTCCGCCATGTTTTTCTGCGTCCGACCGTCCGCGTGGTTAGAAAATTTCCTAGGTGCGAGGTGCGGAAAGTTTTGGCCGTGCGGAGGCGCGGTGGAGGGGTGTGGTTGTTAAAATGCCGCAATTTTGCCACGCGGAGCCGTGCGGACCTCGCGGAGGCGTCAAGCATAAACCAAGCTTAAAGGAGCTCTACCACAAAAAGGCTCACCAGTGCCTCAAAGAGCCGAGTGAACTCCATGAAGTTGGGTGTGAGGATTCCCTTCTGGTAACCCTGAATAACAGAAGGCTGTTGTGTGATGAGCCACAATCCATCCTGGTGAAAACAAAGCCTGTCTGAGTTAGTGTGCGTGCACACACACACACACACACACACACACACACACACACACTTATGTGTGACAACTTAACCCAGATCTAGAGGAAAACTTACTGCATCAATAACTATAGGAATTTCTCTTGCTTTAGACCTCTCGATTACTTCCTGAAAAGACAAGCACGTTTTTATGTAATTAAACCTGACTCTTTAACTTCCCAGGTTAAGTGTAGCCAGTGGAACATTTAAACTGACTAGATTACCACAACTTATTGGTTACACAAACACCGACCTTAGCTGTTTTCAGTAAAAAGTCTTCCCTGCCTAGACCAGGTCCAACAACTAGGCTGTGAAGTCTCGGGAGCCACTTTTCTATTTCCTCTACTGCATTCGGACTGTCCCTTGATAAAACAAACAGAGGTGTGTTAGAGTTGTATGAATGTAAAAATGACTTAAATGAGAAGTATTATGACTTTTTCTTAAGTTATAATAGTTCTATGGTCAATACAAAACATTTTTTTTCACTAAATCCCTCACATGAAGAAATTAAAGCAGTTTTGTTCGTAACAGTTTTAGTACCTTCCAGAATGAGCCGTTTCAGAGCTGTCACTTAAAAAAAGCAAGTGGTTTCTGGCCACACCCACCCATTCCTCACTCATGCTGCTATAAGCTGAGAAGCTCACACATCTGGCAACATAGCTACTGCTCCTCCCTCATGCACATGAGAGGTGCTTCTATTCTACAATCCCCATTTGTGATGTCACAAATGAAGACTTTTTAAACATGTTTGTTTCAGGCACATAAATCTTAAAACCAAACACTGACAGGAAACAGATGTATATTCTTTCCAGATTTGGTGTTCAGTCAAGAAATACACTGCAGCACAAAATGATGCAAAATGTGAGTTTAGCATAATACGTCCCCTTTGAAATGCTGCAAATTTGACTAAACTGAAAAGTAAATAAGGAAGAGAACTGGAAATGTTTCTGAAACTAAACCTAACTATTGTGATTTGTGTAGTGGGTCAGGACATGAAATGTGCAAATAACGCCTCACAATAATATTTGGTCTGATCGCTACAGGGTTGAACTGTAAGCTTGATCCTTTCAACTTCCTGAACCTGAGACAGTGTAAAGCTAGAACATGTTTTCGCCCTAATATCAGGTCACTTCTGAGTTTTTCTTTGCTCTGACAAGCTGATTTTTTTTAATTAGATGGTCATTTGTCCCATTAGGATGACGACACAATCTATGCACCGCATCTGGACCATCGTTAGAATCAGTGATGAAAAATCCTGCTAAATCTCATGTTACATACGATCGACTTACAGAACGGGATGCACGATGAGCTCGGGGCTGTACGATTTAATTACAGCTGCAGCATCTTTAGTGCAGAAAACATGAGACAAGTCGGCACCCTAAAAACAAACAATAAATAATAAATAAACATAACTCAAAGATCCAATCTGAAAAAGCAACATTAAGAGTTCAGGATTACAGCTCACCACTTTCAGTGCAGAAATAGCAGCAAAGTACGGCGCTCCAGTGTAGCTTTGGGAGAGAAGTGGATTTTAGTGACATGTTCCCTGTGATTTTATATTTTATTAGTGAACCAAGCTGGTCTTTGTGAAACATACTCTTGGCATCCTCCAATGATCCCGATCCGTCCATCTTGTCCTTTGTGCTTTTTGGATGTCAGTGGAGGAATGATCCTCTTTACTATTGAGATGATGTCATCATCCATGGCTCTGTGCGATGACAAGCTCAGACTGTAGTAGCGCTGAAGTTCTGAGAAAACAAACAAAATCAGAGTTTCACACAGGGAAATTACAGTCCTCTTATGTGTTTCTGGTCAATCGGAGATCACTCAGGAAGCTTCAACAGTCTTCTGCCTCCATGACACCGGAGCTGATACCTAATACGTCTGTGCTCAGAGGTTGGCTCTTTGGGCTGAAACTGTCTTTCTGAGGCGAAGAACATCTGGGATGCCCTCGCGCGTGTGTCGGCGAGGTGCTGGAAATGACTGGAGCTCGGGCCAGAGGGGTGGCCATCTTGGCTGCGGAGCTGGGTCTGGCTGAGGAGATGCTAGAGAACATCTGGGCGAGCATCTGGAGCATGTGCAGCTCCCTGGTGTGCTCTGCGTCCCGGCGGCGGTCCTCGGATTGCAGGCGCTGCTCCTCCACCCGATAGAAGTTGTCCTCAGCTTGGGCGCTCTGCTCCAGGAACTGCTCCATAAGTTTCTCCACGGGGAAGTTGGAGCGTCGCTTCCTGGGTCGTTTTGGTGTCCTCGCTGGTAAACTGCTCACTGAATGGCTGCTGTTATGCGGTCTTGCTGTGGTGCCTAAAAAAATGACAAAACATATATTTTTTGGACATTTTCAAACATCTAGTAAAGCAAATGAATGAAGAGAGAGGGTGAACTCACTGTTGTTCCCGACTGTGCCTTTAACTGGGATGGGAATGGGAATAGTGGGGCATTCCTGCTTGACGTCAGTCTCGTGGTGAGGATAGGGCCACTCTCCCGTGCTCTCTGCATCCTGAGCATCCTCTCCATCCTCCTCCAGGCCGTCTCCGGCCTCCTCCACTCCCATCCCGCTCTCCATCAGCTCAAGAGTGGGTCGGGTGCTCAAAATCCTCTCCATCGTGTCATAAAACTTGCAGATCTTGTGATACTGTCCGTTGTTCGGAAGATTTCCCTCTTTGGCCAACAGGTACTGCCTTTTGAGGCTTTTGATCCGGACTCGGCACTGCTCCGGCGTCCTGTCGAACCCCATCGCCCCCAGCCTGCGGGAGACGTCTCGGTATACGAAGCTGTTTCGGAAGTTTCCATCCAGCGCCGCCTGGATGTCCTGCTCCCCCCAGATGTTCAACAAGGTCCGCGTCTCCACGTCCGACCACAAAAAGCCGCGCGTGGTGTTGGCTTGCATGTTCGCTCCAGACCGGTTTAAACCATGACCTCCAGCCAAAGCAGATGAATGATGATGTTGACACGGCGGATTAATGAAGGATGTCTGGTCCAGACCTGCATCAGAGCGGCGGGACGCGGCTAACCCAAACAACGTGCAGTAGCCATTTTGACAACGGAGTTAAAAGTGCCTGAAGGGGCTCTGGATTTAGCTTTAAACTTCAGGTTCATAACAGAAACATGTACATGTCAATTATTTATCCGCCCAGCCAAACCTTCCCCGTCTCTGTTTATCCCACCACGTCTTAAGAAATATGCGCAGCTTAGTATTTTAAAGGCGAACTGAACAGGGGTCAGCTTCCGTAGCGGTTTACGCAACCTTTGCCTTCATTAAGTAAATATCCAAACTGACCTCTGATCAGTCCTCTGAGGTTAAGTTTACCTATCTCCGCCTGGTCCTCCCTGGTCGGTTAGAAGTCTGCAAGGTCCTAAAGGCCGTTGTTTAAAGGCGGCTGTTAACATTAGCAAAAAGTCTGTGGCGAATGTCACAAAACGGCGGCAAATAAGAAAACAATAACATTTCCTTCACGTTACCTTTGTTCAAAATAGATAACGTGGCAAAAACCACCACTGCAATTATGCTCAGCAAAAACGGTATCCGTGTCTGAATCTGTTGCGGCATCACTGTTACGAAAAACTGCAGCCCCACGTAGAAGAAACCTCCACCACACTCTCTGCCCTATTAAGTCCTTCTTACCTAAATGGGAAACGCGTTTCAACGCCAAAAAGTGTGAATAAAAGCTTCTAATCATGAGTCACGTTGATCCGGAGTAGCCGAGGAAGAGAAGGCTGTGTGGTGCATTCACAGGCTCCTCGGACAACATAATATCAAAACACACTGGGAGGACAAACCGGAAGTAGTAGTACGGTGGATTATCTTGTGTTTTATATCTTTGTCTTTCGCTCATCTCTGCCCTCCTGTAGCTCTTTGAGACATTACAACCACGTGTTAGAAAAACATTTACAAAATTTCTAATGGTCATCAATTGATGAAAGAAAATCACTCAAGGCCAATTAATAAATGTAATTTTGATGGATTTGAGAACTTCTAAAACTGTGCTAGAATGATATTGAATCTTTTTGCACTTTGGCTTCTGATTATCATTTACTTCCCCGCCATTTTGTGGGTTGTTAGCAAAATTTCAACAAATGTTCCATAAGGGTTCAATGAAAAAACATTTTAAATCCTCTGAAAGTGATCATGTTTAAAAGCCACCACGTGTTGAAACATTTAGATTACGTTGTTGGAGTTTAAAAGTTTACTGTTTTTCTCCTTCGTAGTTTAAGTTGGAACAACTTCTGCAAGGAAATTGATGATCTTTTCTCTGAGTTTTGCTTGGCGGGTTAAATGCCTCTGTAATTAATTAATTAATTAATTAATTTTTGGTAAGTGCACTGAAGGTGGTAAAAGGGGGCAATGTATTGCCTATGTTTAAATTTAGAAAATTTAGCAACCATGACATTAGTTTTAAAAACTGAGTTCAATTTTACAGAAACTTGTTAGTCTGTTCTCATCGTAACCTCTTTTCAGTCTGTGTACAATTATTTCGTCATAATCAAAAGTTCTTGAACATAATAATAGATTTCTTTAAAAGGCCAGTAACATCTTATACGGAATTTTGTGAATTACAATGATTTTTTAAATAGCGCTTCTTCATAAAAGGAGCTTCACAAAAACAATAACAATGATTAAAAAAAGATGAACATACACTAGAAAAGAAGACATGATTTTCAGAAGAGTGTCTGTTAACAAGAAGGAAAATAAACGTTGACATTGTTGCTAATGTGTCATCGTTGTCAACAACAGACCAGCAGTCTTTAACGAGGAACCTGACAGTCATTACTATGGGAAAATTAGCCCCTCCAATCAGTTCCTCACCAACTTCCGGTTTCGCCTCGCTGACTTTTTAAAAGTTGAGACATTCTGGACTGGAGAGAGTGACTCAAAGCCGGAGAGTCATGTGGGAAACAAACAGCTTTTCGTAAAACTATCTTCGCTGCTCCTCGTTTGAAATGATTTTCTCTAGTCAGACCCGTGTTTCTACTTCTGTTTAAACAGCAACAACTCTCCGCAGAAGCCTCCATCATGCCCGACTTGTCGAAGATGAAGAAGCCCGACGTGAAGGTGGTTCTCCTGGGCGACATGAACGTGGGGAAGACGTCGCTGCTCCACAGATACATGGAGAGGAAGTTTAAAGACACTGTCAGCACAGTCGGAGGGGCGTTTTTCCTCAAACAGTGGGGGCCTTACAACATCTCAATCTGGGACACAGCTGGTAAAAACAACTTCATTTGTGTTTACTTTAGAATTATCTTTGATCTAAGGTCAACCAGGTGATGCTACCTGACCTAGCAGCAACATGAGGGGAGCCTTCGGTCTGCTAGCATTTAACTATCTATAAACTATTATAGAAAGTCTTACACCATCAGACGTTTTTAGGTCAATCAGACTAAAAAAGAAAACAGCCAAGTGACCAAACACAACCAGGAAAATGCGTTTTATTCCATAATATTCCAACAAATGAGCAACTTGTTACTTATTGATCTAATTTAATTGTTTTCAACGATTCTGAACATTAAATCAACACAAATCGTAGTTTATTGTCATTTAATCAAACCTAATTTAAGAGTGAATTAACCACACAGACTCCTAATGATGCTGCATTTAAGTTAAAATAATCAAACGTGGCAGTAAAATATTGGCGATTTTCTTGATGTTAAAAACAAAAGTGGTTTTGTTCTTCTCAAAATCTTGTTTAATTTATGTAATGCCAAAATGAAGGCAGGTTCAATAATTATTAAAGTATTGTCAGAAAACAAAAAAAAAAAAACAAAAAAAATGTTAAAACACTCTAAAACACTTTTACTATGTGAATCAATCATAGGCTGCTGCATCCTGCACAGTGTGCCTTATCATGTGCCATGTTGCTCAGTGCTGGCCCAAAGTGACCCAATCCAAGGGTTTTAGTGGTCTGCAGAAGTAGTTTTTCCTTTTAAGTTTAATGCTTTTTTCTTGTACCTGAACACAACAGCATTTCATGCAGCGTGTGCTCAGAACGAGGAAGGTGGACACGTGGAGGACATGTCAGATCTATCTACAGCAGATGACACCATCTGAAAGTCATGTGTTCATTAAACAAGAAAAAAGACTTCAAAGCTTCAAAACAGGACCTTTTAAAAACTCTTTTAAATCACTTTTGCTTTTAAATTTGTTTATATTTTTCCATGAATGCAGCTAAAATGATATTGTCAATAAAAAAACAGCAAATCTCTGTAGTTTAGGAGCTTTTATGTCTGAAAGCATCACTGATAAACAAAACCCATCCTCTGACACAAACTTTGTTGCAGAAACAGCCAAAGTCCAAAGAAAACCCTCGGAATTTCTCCGAAGCATCATTTTAACAGGAAAACTCAACACAAATCCTGCTTGAAAGTTATCAAACTACCGACTCGCTGCTGCCGGGATGAGTCAACATCCCTGTCATGTGCAGTTTACAATTAAAGTCCTAAAGGCAATAGCAGTTTGAGTTAAAGTAAGTCTTTCAGTGAAATAATTGACCTTTTTCTCACTTCGCCCTGCCAGGAACCCCTCACATTGTTGTGGCCTAATCTGCTCCACATTCCTGTATTGTGTAAACAGAACTTCCAGTAAACCATCTTTACTCAAACCAAATTCACAGAAGAACTAGTGAGCCCCAGATAAGGAAACTCCGGCCTTTTGTCACCTCTGAAACGTTTCCTGCTCGTGTTGTTTTACTCCATAACCCCATCCAGCGCGGTGGAGAAATGCTGAGTCATCATAAAGCTTCTGTTTCGTTGTCTGTCAGTGGAAACCCTAAAGCTGTGAAAGATGGGTTATGTTTGTGCACAGGAACAATTAGGTTAGTGAGATCTGATTAGTTCTCCAATCCTCTGAGTTACAGTTCAAAGTCCTGGCTTTAACTCTGCGCTCAAACTTCCTCTAAAGAGTCACATGACGAGGAAGCTTCAGCCTCTTTTCCAGTGTTTACACAGAAATGTTGACACTGATCTGTGAGGAAGAGAGGGAAACGAAAGCTGGAAATTGGTCTAAAATGGAACTTTGTTCATTCTCGCATAAATGCAGTCACATTTTGTATTTCCAAGGCCTTTATTCCCCCTAAATTTTGAATGAATTGCAATACAGTTGAGTAAATCAGCAGTTTTAGCGAAGCATAACAGATGATTAAAGCCCAAATGTATCAGTAAGAAGTAGTATATGTAGACACAATGAGCCCTTTGAAAAATTTTCCATGTTTCAGCAACAAAGGATGCTTTTGTTTGGCTCCTGCATTAAACCCGCTCTGCTGTGTTCTCCTACGCCGCTGCCATGTTTAGAATAGTTGTGCAAAAGAGCCCACTACTTACTTATTCACAAGTTTATGCTTTTATTTTGGTTTCTGTGAAATAATGTGGACATTTTTCCCAAAACTAAAAATGTATTTTCTTTGAGGTTTTTGGACACCGGCTAAAGGTATGGCGGAGGATGTTTCTGAATTTCGGGAAAGAACCGCGCATGAGAGAGAACGCCCAGTTATCCTCGTGCATGCTCTGTTTGTAGGTAGCTGCCAGCCTCGCAGCACTTCTTCTAGCTGTAACCTGAAACTAATTTCTCCACATAGCATGCAGAGCTTTAGCTTACCTGTCGAGCAGAAAATCTGCAACAGAGGTGTCTGTGGGGAACCCAACCTTTTCCTTAAGCGCATGCCATCGTTGAAAAGAGTCACGTCGTAGGTGAGGATGACGAGGAATGAAGGTGTGTCGCTCTACACATAAACAAAATGTGCAGGAAGTGAAAACCAACCCAGGAATGAGCACGTATGAAAGCTTCACCTAAATGATTGACAGTTATGCGGACCAATGGTTCAGATGATCCACCTGGATGAAAATGACCCTCAGCTATACCTTTAACCCTTTGCGCTAGAGGCCCTGTACACACGTAGCCGTTTATCCGACAAAACAAACATATTTTTCGACGGTTTGGCCTGTCCTCCATACGACAGTGAAGAAACACAGCCCCATTCTTTCAAAAACTCTTGACCAGAGAGAAGATTTGTGAATTCTGTTGTTGGCATTTGCTTGTGGACGTAAATAACCAGAGTTTGGGGTTTCGCTACATCACTGCCCGTGACAATAACGCTCTGATGTCACACGTGCGACCTGTGTTTACGCTCACTCACTTGTTGTTTTTAATTTTGCCGTTATTTGTAAAAGGCTAAAGATGGTCATCAAGTGCCACCTAGTTATTCCATGTCCAAGGAATGTTTCTCGGCAAAGACGTTGACAATTTGGGGAACTACTGCCACCTAGAGGCTAGGCATTAGGGGTGAGGATCAAATCAAACTTTATTTGTATAGCGCCTTCAACTTTCTTTACGGGAGCCTGAGGCGGTGAACATAAAACAAAGATAAAAGAACAGGCAGATAACAAAACAGTTAAAATAGATTAAACAGAATAAAATTACATAAAAGCCAAACGAAAAAAGTGAGTCTTCAGGCGACTGAGATGCTTGGAACAACTCACGACTCAATTTGATTCTGATTCTTTGGGTGAAGATTTGATTCTGAACCGATTCTCTATTCAAACCGATTCACGATCAGTGCTCTTGGGAAGAGAGAGTCAATTCCAGGATGAACTTCTTTCTTCTGTCAGTTAGACATCTGCCAGGTGTCTGTGACGTAGGTAGCCGGGAATGTGATGAAGTGTGTTGCTCTGGAAGTCCACGCATCACTAACTAGAATGATACGGCACAAAAGTTGTTGAGTGACAAATTACACGAGCAGTGAATAAGTTATAGAGTGTTTGGGAAATGCCTTCTCAAGTAACCAAACTTGGAAATTATGGATCGATTCAGAATCTTTATTAATCAATTCTAAAACTTTATAAATAAGAATCTGTGTTTGAACCCTTTTTTTTTCCCCAGCACCTTTACTCGGCATGCTTGTTGATGTGCGTCACAGTGCACAGGAATTTTTCACTAATAACGAGGTGGCGTGGACCCAGGTTGTTTTTCGTAGACAGCCGGTGCGGATATTCAGTTTTACAGAAACCCAGCCACGTGTGCACAAGGCCCGAGTTTCGCTTTGTCTCTAAACTCCGTTTTGTCTCTTCAGGTCGGGAACAGTTCCACGGTTTGGGCTCCATGTACTGTCGTGGAGCGGCCGCCGTCATCCTCACCTACGACGTGACCAACTGGCAGAGCCTTGCTGAGATCGAGGAGCGCTTCCTGTCTCTGACTGACACTGCTAACCATGACTGCATCTACGCTTTAGTTGGCAACAAGGCAGACCTCACTGATCCTAAAGTCCACCTGTCCCAGGATGCAGATGGACAGACTAAGGATCCAACTGGCGGTGACGAGGAGAGGACAGAACCTCAGGTGTTGTCTGCTGTCCCCACTCCTCCGGCCTCCCCCACCTCCTTCTCCGGCTTGGTGCTTCACAAACAGGTGACGCGCGACGACGCTTTGTCTCTTTACGAGAGAATACTGAGGTACAAAGGTCTGGACGAAAAGAGCAGCCTCCCAGCTGATAAGATGTGCTTCGAGACGAGCGCGAAGACCGGCTACAACGTAGACGTTCTGTTTGAGACGCTGTTTGATCTGGTGCTACCGTCCATCCTGAGGAAGAGGCACGAGAACCGGGAGTCTCCAACGGTGGATTTGGAGGACAGTGGAGGGGTTGGCAGCAAGCGGGCCAGGTCCTCCTGCTGTTAGGAAGCAAAACAGGAGGAAAGAAAACAAATTTTTAACAATCAGCACGCTGGTCTGGTCGGAGCACCACATGCACACTGATGGTACCGAAGTTTATCTCCACTGACTCCACAGGAAATACACAATAACTCCTCAAAACTGTGAAAAATGAGCAAAAAAGAGCAACCACGGGTGGCGTTTTGCGAAATGAAGACATTTCTTTGTGAGGAAGGGAAATGATGTGTTTTCTAAAACCTTCCACTCTGACTGAAACTGCACTTAAGTGTCCCAAAGACGTCTGCAAACAGAAAACCTAAATCACTGCTGTTTGGCTCCTTTAATTTCACTAATTTATTTGCACTAATCACTAGTTGATGACACTTTTTCCTCTTTCTTAGAAATTTAATCACAGACCACCTTATTTGCACCAAATTGCTTTATTTCTTTGTGTTGATACTGATCTTTATATTTTATTGAAAAGTTGAGTGAATGAGTGTAAAATATTCTTGTTGAACTTTTTTAAAAATACTGTCACAATAAAGATTTATTATTTTGCATTTGACTGCTTTGCCATTGTTTAAAATGAGAAACAACTTTTATTAAACGGAGAAATATATAACCGTTATGGACGCTCGGAAAAATAAAACAATAAGAAAATGATTGATTCTTGGTTGAATGAGTTTATGGTAAAATTATTGTGTGGGGAAAAAGTAAAAATTCAGATTAGAGCAAAAAAAAAACAACCAATTAAAATATATTTTAAAATTGTGTCAGGATTAAAGTTGAAATGTGGAGAAAAAGTTTCAATAAAAACAATTTAAAGAAAATTTCTTCAAATCTTTTATGTGAACAATTATTTTCTACGTCTTTCTTCAATCTTGACACAGATTTTATTCCAGAAAATGTACAGGTCCTTCTCAAAATATTAGCATATTGTGATAAAGTTCATTATTGTCTGTAATGTACTGATAAACATTAGACTTTCATATATATATTAGATTCATTACACATAACTGAAGTAGTTAAAGCCTTTTATGGTTTCTAATATCGATGATTTTGGCATACAGCTCATGAAAACCCCAAATTTCTATCTCTAAAAATTAGCATATCATGAAAAGGTTCTCTAAACGAGCTATTAACCTAATCATCTGAATCAACTAATTAACACCTGCAAAAGATTCCTGAGGCTTTTAAAATTTCCCAGCCTGGTTCATTACTCATAACCACAATCATGGGTACGACTGCCGACCTGACTGCTGTCCAGAAGGCCATCATTGACACCCTCAAGCAAGAGGGTAAGACACAGAAAGACATTTCTGAATAAATAGGCTGTTCCCAGAGTGCTGTATCAAGGCACCTCAGTGGGAAGTCTGGGGTGCCATGTCAGCTGCTGGCGTTGGTCCACTGTGTTTTATCAAGGGCAGGGTCAATGCAGCTAGCCATCAGGAGATTTTGGAGCACTTCATGCTTCCATCTGCTGAAAAGCTTTATGGAGATGAAGATTTCATTTTTCAGCACGACCTGGCACCTGCTCACAGTGCCAAAACCACTGGTGAATGGTTTACTGACCATGGTATTACTGTGCTCAATTGACCTGCCAACTCTCCTGACCTGAACCCCATAGAGAATCTGTGGGATGTTGTGAAGAGAAAGTTGAAAGATGCAAGACCCAACACTCTGGATGAGCTTAATGCCGATATCAAAGCATCCTGGGCCTCCATAACACCTCAGCAGTGCCACAGGCTGATTGCCTCCATGCCATGTCACATTGAAGCAGTCATTTCTGCAAAAGGATTCCCGACCAAGTATTGAGTGCATAACTGAAGATAATTATTTGAAGGTTGACTTTTTTGTATTAAAAACACTTCTCTTATTGGTCGGATGAAATATGCTAATTTTTTGAGATAAGAATTTTGGGTTTTCATGTGCTGTACGCCAAAATCATCAATATTACAAACAATAAAAGGCTTGAACTACTTCAGTTGTGTGTAATGGATCTAATATGAAAGTCTAATGTTTATCAGTACATCACAGACAATAATTTATCACAATATGCAATTTTTTAGAAGGATCTGTATTTAAACTTTAATTATAAAACCTGGAAACAAAATTATTGTTTTAAGAAAATGACCACAGACAAAACCATTTTTATGTTTTATTTGTGAATTTTTAAACAGTTGACTTGATGCAAAACATTTAGCATTTATGTCAAACTCTGAACTGATTTGTGATCCTCCAAATATTTATGCAACTAAATCTGTTGATAAAAATGAGGGAAGCATGGAAAGATTGACTTTTACAAATGTTCATTCACAACATAAACAGAATCAGTGCATTTTGTGGACAACAAGATAATTCTGCAGTTGATGTTAAATGCATTAAAAGATAACTGTAATTTAAAAAATCTATGCTTTGTACAAGCGTCAGAAAAACAAACCAGGCTTAAAAAAATTGTGGCTGACAGGCAGTTAGTGGCTTCATGTTTATATGGATATGTGCATCTTTGGTTCCGCTGTAGTTTCTGATGGTTAATAATCATAGCTGAGGTAATAAGTTAAAAATAAAGCACCTGTAGACATTTAACACAACATATTAACATTTGTCCCATAATTTTGCTGTTCGTATTGCTGGACAATTGTTTTATTTACAGTGCATCCTGAAGGCATCACAGAGTCCTTGCATAGCTCAGGAGAATCATACAAGTCTCCTTGTAGTCTGATTGGATCAGATCCGATCTTGCTGTTGGAGCTGTGGTGAGGCGTCCCTCACAGGTTCTTCATGCAGACCTGACAGCGGCTGATGTGTGAAAGAAGCTGGCCCGCTTTGAGTGTCTGTGATGCCGGCTGAGAGTGGAACTCCTGCTCCGTAGTGGTCAGCCAGAAGCTGTATTTGTTAGCGAAGTAGTGACACGTGCCTTTGGCCCCGTTGCACTCAATGAATGGAGCCGTGCGGAAGTCCTCCAGGCAGGAACCGGGAGACGACAAGGACTGGCCACCGCCTTCGTTTCCTGCTGCTGTGTGCTGCAGGGACAAAGGTGAGAGGGGGAGCCAATGAGACTGGAATATATCATTATTGTTAGGTGTGGAGATCCTTATGACCAGATCAGAGTTGTCTGAAAATAAACAAATGCTGTCTTTTTCCTGTTCAGAACCGAGTACTAGAAAACAGTGCTTGTCTGACAAAATATAAACAAGTCCTGGAGAGATTTACCGGTACACAAAATTACACAAAAATTCTGGTAGAAAGCTGTGGTAAAGCTGATTCAAGACGTCCTACAAAGGAAGCTCCTTTCAGTTGCTTTAGTTCAGTTGAGAATCCATCCATCCATTTTCTGAACCCACTTTGTCCACGTGGGGTAGCGGGGGGGGGGGGGGGGGGGGGGGGCTGGTGCCTATCTCCAGCAGTCAATGGGCAATCAGGCGGGGTACACCCTGGACAGAGAGCCAGTCCATCGCAGGGCAACACAGAGACACACAGGACAAACAATCATGCACACACTCACACCTAAGGACAATTTAGATCAGGGGTGTCAAACTCATTTTAGCTCAGGGGCCACATTGAGGGAAATCTAGTCCCAAGTGGGCCTGACCGGTAAATTAAAAACAACTTCAGATTGTTTTCTTTGTTTTAATACAATCAATATAAAACAAAGCTGGAGCCTGAGGACAGTGTATCCAAAATAGTACAAGTACAACACCTGAAGTGTACTTGAAAATTTGAAAAAACTAAAAAATCAATCAATAAAAAAACATTCCTTAGTGATTCAAAGAGCTTACAGATCACATGGCTAGATCAGTTTCATGCAGCACTTAAAGTATATTTGACTCATTTTACTTAACATCTTTTAGCTTTCACCAGCACATCAATATCAGAAGTCACATCCTGAGTGGCGGCCAACTTCAGGATGTGATTCAAGTTCTTGTGTGAGCCTTGAGCGCAGCTTTGTTTTATTTATACTCATTACAGAAAAAATTGCTCACAAAGATAAGTTTATTTTCACTCTACATTGTAAAGTATGAAAATAAAGTTTACACAACCATCTCGCGGGCCGGATTTAACCCGCTTGCGGGCCGGATCCGGCCTGCAGGCCGCATATTTGACACCCCTGATTTAGACAGACCAATCAACCTTACAGTCATAATTTTGGACTGTGGTAGGAAGCCGGAGTACCCGGAGAGAACCCACGCATGCACAGGAAGAACATGCAAACTCCCTGCAGAAAGATCCCAGGCCGGGAAGCGAACCCAGGACCTTCTTGCTGCAAGGCAACAGCTCTAACAACTGCGCCACCGTGCAGCCCAGTTGAGAATCACTTTCTGGAATCTCTTTGTCCTGATCTAAATCAACCATGAATGAGAGTTGGCACATAGCCTTAGAGGTCGTAAAGGGGTATATTGTGTGTCTACAGCAGACTGGAGAGAGAATCATGGCCTCAAATTGGAAGGAGCTGGCTCTCATCAGCTTCAAACTGCCCTAGTAATAGACTAATCAAGAATTAGACTAGACAAAAGTATTTTTTAAAACCTGCAAAACAAACATTAAAGTACGAGCCTAAAACCTGCAGAATTTTTACTCACCATGAGGAAGGAGTAGCCAATCCACAGGCTGCGCCATCCTGCAGGACACTGTGGGATGGTGATGTCTTGACTGTGAACTGCAATCGCCACTGATGGCGCTTCACATACGGAGCAGCGACTGATGTATGGTTTGATTTCTGATTCCTCAACGGGCATCATGGGAAGAGACGCAGTGGTAGAGAGCCAAAAGGACTTATCGTTTCTGCTGGCGTAATAGCAAAGGTCTCCGGGGTTACAGTAGAGGAAGGGCATAGTGCTGAACCTCGGGAGGCAGGAACCCGCCAAACCTAACATAAGAACACGCCGTTAAAACACACGTATGAAAAACTCCATAAGGAATTCTAAAATGACCAAAGAACAGCTGTTCTGATTCTAATCAACCTTTAAAGTACATCTAATCCCAATAGCGTTGTCTGTAATACGCTGGTGAAGGTTCTCAGTCATCCAGGTCATGGTAATCCAAAGGGTTCAAATGAAAGCAATGAAGGCAACTGGACTTTTTTGGTTTGTTGAAGATGTTTCGCTTCTCATCCAAAAAGCTTTGTCAATTCTAACTGGAATATGAGAAGCTTGACTCTCCCATATTCCAGTTAGAATTGACAAAGTTCCTCAGATGAGAAGTGAAACATCTTCAAGAAACCAACGAAATCCAGTTGCCTTCATGGCCTTCATTTGAACCATTTGGCTTTGTCTGTAATAGGAAAAACATGCTTCTGCTTAGCTTCTGAAAGGTCAAGTCAAACCGTGCATGGTAACCGGTTTCTATTTTGGAATCCCATTGAAAAGTACATCTTTAACCATTAACTAAATCTAGTGGTAGCAATTCCCATAAATTTCCCTCAGAGGTTCTCTGGTTTCAATCAAATTATTTGTGTTAACAAAAGCAGTCTTGAAAAGCAAACATTCAATCAGCCTTTTAAAACAGTTTCTTCACTTAGGAACAAAATCAGATGATTCACTGGAAGCCAAAGAAATGCAGAGATTTGTTGTTACATTAAATTGAATTAGGCTGGGAAGACGGAACAAGCAGCAGTGGAAAAATGTTACAGCTGAAGACAGAATTTGGTCTCAGAAACCAAATATAATCTATGTGAAGTGATTCAAACCTCCTTTTGTTTATTTTAAACATTTTTTGATTTATAGGTATACAGGCTTTCTGAAGGTCTGTCAAAGGTTTCTTTAGGATTTTGGTCATTTGGGTGAAAGAGGTTTCTTAATATTAAATAGCTATGGAGGTCAAGATCTTTGATAATGCTGAAAGACAGATTACCAAAGTAGTACTGTAGTTTTGTAGTTTACGTGGACTCACCAAGATCTTGGTTGTGGGCCTTTTCCTGGCCCTCGAAGTACAGTAGGCTGTAGCCATCCCACAGTTTGGACATTCCCACGGGACACATGGGGGTCTGGTCTGACTGACTGTGTTTCACTAGCAAGTAACCAACGCTGACACTGCGGCCAGGCATACCAGGAAACCCGGGGATACCAGGGTTACCACGGTACCCTGTAAATGAATGAGTTTATTGTTGTTGTTATTATTATTATATTATTATAATTAATAATAATAAATTAACAGCAAATTAACTTTAGCCAAAGATAAAAATCAAACCTACTTTGTAACGGATTTCCTACATAAACCCCAACCTCCTATAAATCTTTTAATCCAGGATTATTTGCCTAATCCCAAGCTGCCCGACAGTGTCAGACATACCTTCCTTGCCCTGCAGACCGAAGTGACCCATATGTCCAGGTTCTCCACGGAATCCAGGAACTCCAGGAGTACCACTAATCCCAGGCATGCCTCTCTCTCCAATGGGCCCCATGAACCCTGCACAGGAACAGGATCTATGTGTTACTGTGCTGGTTCAAGTAGATGACAGAGCTGTCTGACTGGTATTCAGTCTATAAGTCCTAAGTTCAGTCCTTCTTGGCCAGGGCATCTTTGCAAAAGAGACTTGTTCTCAAAGGATTTCCCTGGTTAAATAAGGGTTAAATAAAAAATAAATAATAAAATAACAGTAAGTGTCCTCTGATGGGTAACCTGAATCTCCAGGTGGCCCTTGTGGTCCTGGTTCTCCTCTGTTCCCCTTTGGTCCCATGATACCCTGCACTCCTGGAGGACCCCTCTCACCTGGAGTTATAACAGGTAACGGGGCAGGACCTCGGTTACCTGTTGGTCCAGGAAAGCCTGTGGAAAAGATATTTTTGGAAAGAAAAACAGTTGCTTTGGGTGTGTAATGCTTAAAGTTGTGTTAAATCCCACAAAAAAAAAAAAAAAAAAAAACACAAAACCCATCTTGCCTTTGCCATGCTTAATTGTGTGTGACTGAATGCAATGACCAAATGTGGTTGAATAGAAGAGGTGAAACTTTAACCATTAGGAAGGCAGTTGATTAATTAGAAATACACAACTGACCTGGTATTCCAGTGTTTCCTTTCGGACCCGATGGTCCTCTATCTCCTTTTGTTCCAATCTGACCAGGAACCCCCATGACACCTTGATCTCCTTTCACCCCTAGATAAAAGCAAAATTTCGTTAATGATATGTCAAAAGCTGATATGTATGTTTAGACCTTATAAGTCCGGTTTGGTAACTGGGCCACTAAAAGTTGGAACAAAACATATCATGTAAATGACCTAATGTTTAACGTTTAAAAGGATTTCCTGTCCAGTCCATACCTTTTCTTCCAGAGACACCGTGGGGGCCTTTGTATCCAGATTGACCTGGATCCCCTCTGAATCCTTTAGTACCCGGGAATCCAGGAGCCCCGGGTTCTCCTTGTACACCCCTTTCTCCCGGAAGAGCATCCAAGCCTGGCAATCCTCTGGAACCAGGAACACCTGACAAAACAACAACTCAGTTAGGGAAATTAAAATATCCAACAACAATTTTTAAATCTCCTCATGTTAAGAAAAAAAGGATGTCTGCACACTAAGTGCTGCACTACGGAGCCCCTCTGATGACATGGTCCAATAAATAAATAAAGTGTGGCCACGAAATACTTATTCGTGGCCACGTTATAGCTATTTCGCGGGCACAAATAAGTACTTTGTGCCCGCGAAATAGCTATAACGTGGCCACGAATAAGTATTTCGTGGCCACAATTTATTTATTTTTTGGACCATGTCATCAGAGGGGCTTCGTACTGCTCAGCTGAACATAAAAAAAAAAAAAACAAGAAGGCTCTTGGATAAACAAGCATATATTATTGTTTTGAAAAATCGACTGTTTATTTACATAAGCAGTAATAGCATTTCTTCACAAAATCATAGATTTCTGGTAGAAAAACCATGGACTGTAAAACAGAAATTATTTGACTGTTTATAAAATAGCATTCTTTTAAAGTAAAATGTGTATTTTATTTATTTATTTGAGTTATTTTATTATGGCAAAAATCCACGATCTAACGAGACTTTCTGTTAGCTTGTCAGTCAAGATCGGACTTAGTCTCTATGTCTTTAAACTGAGGTCATACATGACTTATCTGATGCTTTATCCAATTATGAGCAAGTTGAAAAACATACATCCCATGATGGAGTCTATACTTGTGAAAACAACCGCTTCTCTCTACCTTGATGTCCTGTTGGTCCTGAAAATCCAGGATCTCCTCTCTGTCCTGGTATGTCTGGGGTCCCATCTGGTCCCGCAAGTCCTGGGAGTCCTGGCTGTCCAGGATGGCCAATGTCACCTGACCCAATGAAGACAAAAAGTTATTTCACATGACAACACGCATCATGTGCAGCTTTGCAGAATGTACTTCCTATCTGTCTTCTTTTGTGCACTAGTATGGATGAAGGTAGTGATTCACCTTGAGGCCCCTGGTAACCTTTAGAACCCACTGCACCTGGAAAACCTGGCTGGTCATTGTGGACTCCGCCCTCCCCCTTTTGCCCTTTATGTCCCGGCTCCCCAGGGCGTCCAAAACCCTCCAAACCTGATGATCAACAACACATTCTTTGATGTTACATTTACATTAAAAAATTTACATTACTTCAATAGTAGCAGAGCACAGAAGAATCATTTCCTAGAGGTTTTATAATTTGTTACCTGGTGTTCCTTGGTCCCCTTTGTGACCCTTTAGACCATGTAGCCCATAGAGACCCTTAAGTCCAGGATAACCTGCACACATGGAAGGAATTATATGATAAACAAGGATGTGTTTAAACTAGAGAGTGTAAGATCAATTTTGTTACCTTTGATTCCAGAGAAGCCAGGGAAGCCCGGTTGTCCCTCTTTCCCAGGAATTCCAGGGAAACCCTTTTGACCTTGATTACCAGGAGTACCTTTCTGTCCATCTGAGCCTATGAATAAATATATTAATGCAAAAATGTAAACCACTAATGGAAACAAATACAGAGTAGACCGTTACCTGGAATTCCCGCTAGTCCTGGATCACCCACTGTTCCCTTTATTCCCTCAATGCCATCAAAACCAGTAGGACCCATGTCCCCAGTTGGTCCACTTAATCCCTTCAGACCTATAAAAATTGGTTCAAACTTTTCAGTCAGGTAAACAATTTTTATTGTCTAGGAAGTTCAGATAAGCAACAATTGTGAGATTGAGCTTGTACCTGGTTCCCCTGCAAATCCATCCTCTCCTCTTAGTCCAGGGTTTCCTGGAAGGTCTATGCGAAGGCCTTTATCACCTGTAGTATTTTCCAAAAATTACTTATTTTTCAATCACAGTTACTTTGTGTTTATTATCTAAATGTCCATCCTAAATTTGGAATACCTTTGGCCCCCTTCCTTCCATCTTCACCTAATGCTCCATAGGCACCAGGACTTCCTTTGATTCCCTGGAAAAAGGAAAACTTTAGCTACCTTTAAATGTAGATTTGTTAAACGTTTATAAGATTTATTAATAAAGGATTAAAATTAATGCAAAAAAGATTGAAATTGTTCAAATGTGGCATGGATTAGCTGAAAATAGAGTATATTTGCTGAATGCTTCCCTTTCTTCTGACCTGATCTGATATCAGAGCCGAAGCACAGCAGAGAGGGAGGGACCCGCAAAGGTGCATTTGTTCAAATTTTCTATCGGAACCATTTTTTTTGTTATAAAAGGATTTTACAGATGAATTCAAAAACTACTGAATCATGTGACTTTTCCTGGAGTGGCTCAGTTTACCTTGTTGCCAGACATTCCCTCGAAGCCCGTGATTCCTCTGTTTCCTGTTATACCTGGCATTCCTTTGAAGCCGGGTAACCCCTGTGCTCCGGGATCACCTCGCTGACCTTTCTCTTTGCTGGGTTCTCCTGGAAGACCATCTGATCCAGGAAATCCTGGCACACCATATACTCCTTTTGAACCTGATGAAAGCAAAGATTCGATAAGTTGAAGGATTAAAGGCCAGAAAATAATAAAAAAAGAAGAAACTGATTTCAAACTGGAGCTGCAGACCTCTTGGCCCAGTGAACCCTGGCATGCCTTGATGTCCGTGGTCTCCCTTGGCTCCCTTCACGTTGACAAGCATTTGAACAGCAATGGCCCCACGTGGCCCTGTCAGACCACGCTCACCTGAGGACAGGTGTTGTAGAGAATCAGATCAGAATCAGAAGAGTTTTTTTGTCTTATGTGCAAGAATCACAACATTAGGAATTTGCTGCGGTTGAGGATTAGTTAGCCGCCAGTCTTATTAAAGCTGTTACACTAATCAATGACGATTGGTCCTACCTTTTGCTCCCTGTTTGCCTAAAAGTCCTTTGAGACCAACTTCACCGCTCACTCCAGCTTCTCCTTTAAGCCCACCTAGACCCTTCTGCCCTGGATTACCCATCATTCCCTCAAATCCTGACATGCCGTGAGACCCCTTGCTTCCTGAAAAAGAGAAATTGCAGAAACAGCCATTAGAGCAAACTGCTTGTATGATTTTTGTTCACCATTGAATTAGGGGTCACATCTTGAGGAACCAACCCTTCAATCCTGGATGTCCTGGTCGTCCACTTCCACCTGGTTGCCCTGGGTCACCTGGTAGGCCGGGCTCTCCAGTGGCACCAAAATCACCATGTTCACCTGGTGTCCCTTTTAATCCTGTTGGACCTGGAGGACCAGGATCTCCTTGTGTTCCTCTGTCCCCTGTGATTCCTGATTAGGTAGAAGACAGAATTTCAGCAGGAACAGATATGAAACATATTCTGACAGAGAACGTTTGTGTTCTCTAACCTGGCTGGCCAGTTTCACCAAATGGCCCAGGCAGACCCACTCTTCCTGGATCCCCAGGGAAACCGTGTGTCCCTGCTGGCCCAGGTCGTCCCTCTTCCCCTATCAGGCCTGGGGAACCTTTCTCCCCCTTAAAGCCGATCATACCAGGCATGCCCCCCATACCTGGAAAAACCAGTTCAATAAAGCCAATGCATTAAACTTCAAACATCTTTTTTAAACAAATTGATAGGACAGGCCTACAGCTTACCCGAGTAGCCTGGATTCCCTGGATTTCCAATTGGGCCTTTTTCACCTTGATCACCTGGTAGTCCTGGATCACCCTGGGATCCAGGTGATGCTCCTAATACTTCACCATGACTACCCTTTTCACCCTGAACACCATATCGACCAGAATGACCTGGAAAACCGGGAACTCCTATGGAACCTTTTCTGCCAGGAACTCCATGATCTCCACGAGGACCAGGAAAACCTGTATAAAACAAACAAAACAAAAAAGAAATAGATGAAAACTAAAAAGAATTCAAGACCAAATGTGAGAACTGGAGAAAGGGACTCTAAATGCTTCACAGCCAAGTGTGGTCTTTACCTGGTGGTCCAGAACTGCCACCTGTGCCCTGCTCCCCCTGCTCCCCCTTTTCTCCCTTGGCTCCAGCTACACCAACTGCCCCCTTTAGTCCAGGAAGTCCTGTTCATTAGAGAAACATTAAAAAACACCCAAAAGGACTCAAAGCAGCTGAAATGAAACACAAAATTCTAAGACTTAGGTTACCTTGTGCACCTGGTGGTCCACTGACCCCTGGAACTCCAGGGAGACCTGGAGGTCCTGGAACAGGTTGGCAAGGGCCTGGCAAGGAAGGAAGCACATGAAGCTTCAGAACAATGTGTTGGTGTTTTTGGTGTTTGTTGAATTTTGGTGCGGGTGGATTTTACTGCCCAGCGTGAAATCTTTTCAGAATCTGACATAAGGATCTAACTAGTGGGTATCTCAATAAAGCAAATCTAACATTATCAACAAAAATCATCATGCATCTCAGTTCAATTATCCAAATGCAAAGCACAACCGAGATGTTGCAAAGAGGAGACGTAAGGTGAAAACATTTGTATACCAGCTACCTGTGACATCCACCTGTCCTCCTTCTCCTGTTGGACTACAGCCGCCTTTCAGTTGCAAATGAGGGGGAATGAAAGAGAGATGCATTCGGAACAAGAGTTATTCAAAAGCAAAAGCACTGTTTGAAAACAAGCTCAGCTGCAGCTGGTTTGAGGGATGCAGCCCCTGGCGTTAAGTAGACAGCAGTTCAAAGAGATGTGCCCGCTTGTCATGCTCCCTTCTCTTTTAATCACAAGCCATTAATGTCACCGCTTTGCACTGGATTACAAAACAGGGCATTATTAAAAAGATGTAAGGTAAAAATTACTCAGAGTGAAAACAGGAAAAATCTTTATAGAGAGCAGAAATATACCACAGCAAAAAAAAAGACTGAATACAAACAGGCCTGTTTGGAGGCGGTTAGCTGCTACTCACCTGGAGCTCCGGGTGTGCCTGGAACTCCAACGTAGCCGGAGATACCATCATCTCCAGGTAAACCCCGCTGTCCTTTGATACCTGTAACATCTTGACCCGGGACTCCCCTAAGCCCGGCTGCACCTGGTGCACCAGGCCGCCCTGGGTACCCCTTGTCCCCATGTTGCCCTCTGGGTCCTTCTCCCTGTAAGTATGAACCCAAAAAAGCAAAATGAAATAAGGAATAGTATTAATCAGTATATGAAACTTATAGTTGAAGGAGAAGAAACACATGGACTCACTGGCAAACCACGGTTGCCAGGGAAACCAGAAAGCCCGTCTGGGCCTGGAGAACCGGGGACTCCTGCGGGACCATCTTTTCCTGCTTCTCCAGGGTCACCAGGGAGGCCTGTAGGGATTAAAACACAATTATGTAACAATAAAAACACAAATATTAGGTTTTTTTTCAGAACTGAGCATTTATTTTGTCTCAAGGTAGGTACAGGTTGGGTGTAACGGTATGTCTATAATCCCGGGTCGGTGTGTACTTTAGTTGAAATGTCACAGTCTCTTTACTCTCGGTACGGCGACAGAACAACTGGAACAACAGATTTGATGATGTCTAAAATAAAACTTTACTTGCATTAAATCCTCCAACCAAATATTCTCAAAAACAAAAAAGCTATAAACAAAAATACAAAAATAAATACATTTTATTTAACAGGTATTTGTTTTAGGAAACCAACATCAATACGTTGGCTTTCTCAGCTGCAACTACAAGAAAAGCTGAAGTATTGGGAAATAAATGTTCTATCTTTAAGAAATGAATGTTCTGTATTTCCTTATGTGCAACTTTAAAAGTTCCAGCTTGTAAAATTGCTCAGGTTCATTCAACCTTCATGTGTTTTGATAGAAATATTAATTGTCCACATTATCTGCCTAAAGGACTGATCTGTTGGCAGTCTGCGGAAATTATCTTCTTGCTCCAGATAGAGGTTGCTTTTCTGGCAGGTGTCGTCAACTTCAGTTTAGCGTTGTCATGGTTGCTAGTCGACAGGACACACACTGCATAAGACTATCCAGTTTTACAGCTATTCACTTGAAGTCTTCCCTGTCAATAAAGGACCCGGTATCTAGTACAGACACCAGCTCACTTTGACCGAGTAAGCCGGGCCTTTCAAAGGATGCATCCCTTGAATTTGTAACCAGTTGTTGGTGCTGCTAGAACTGGCTAGCACATACAAAACAGCATCCATGTAGGAACTCGGTATGCGTTTGTGCGGAGTCAAATGTTCTGTCCCCAAAAAATTCTGAATATGAATCCAAGTGTCGTTACAACACCAGAGTGAATAGATGTACAACATTTCAGTTCACCCTGAAACAATCCCAAAGTTTTGCCCCCACCCCAGACTTTTTATGTTGATCCAACTATTAATTTTTTAACTGTATTAACCCCCTAAAGCGATTCCTGATCAGAAATAAGATAAATAATTAACTTAGCACCTTTTTGTGTGGCAACAGTTGTGTTTCCTTTTCGACCTTTTGGTCCTTGAAGGCCATTGGTACCAGGAGATCCCTACAGCACATAACAACACAACACACACCAATATTACACAACACAACACAGCAAAACACACACCAGTACAATACAACACAACACAACACGACACAACACAACACAGCAAAACACACACCAGTACAATACAACACAACACAACACGACACAACACAACATAACACAGCAAAACACACACCAGTACAATACAACACAACACAACACGACACGACACAACACAACACAACACAGCAAAACACACACCAGTACAACACAACACAAGACAACACAACACAACACAAGACAACACAACACAGCAAAACACAACACAACACAGCAAAACACACACCAGTACAATACAACACAACACAAGACAACACAACACGACACGGCAAAACACACACCAGTACAACACAACACAACACAACACAACACAACACGACACGACACAGCAAAACACACACCAGTACAACACAACACAACACAAGACACACCAATAAACCCCAAAATACAACACAATACACACCAACACAACACAACGTAATCAAATACAACACAACACAACACATACCAATACGATAGAACACAACACACACCAATAAAGCCCACAACATAACAAAATACAACACAATACACAAGAACCCAACACCATGTAATAAAATACAATACAACACAACACAGCAAAACACAGACCAATACAACAGAACACAACACAGACCAATAAACCACACATTGTAACAAAATATTACACAATACAACACAACATAATAAAATACAACACAATACCACAGGAAACACAACAACAACAGACACAACACACACCAATAAAGCACACAACACAACATAATAAAATACAACACAATACAACAAGAAACACAACAACAGACACAACACACACCAATAAAGCAGACAACACAACATAATAAAATACAACACAGCACAACAAATGCAACACATAGAAGAGAGAGAGAGAGAGAGAGAGAGAGAGAGAGAGAGAGAGAGAGAGAAAGAGAGAGAGAGAGTATGCATTGCAGATATTGAAACCACATAAATCTTTTTTATCTTAAACGTTGGGATTTTTTTTTCTCACAGGAAGTCCATCCTGTCCTCTGGGACCCGTGTCTCCCAAATCACCCTCACGACCAAACTCTCCAATTATCCCAGCATCCCCGGGATCGCCAGCAGGACCAGGCAAACCACGCTGGAAGTTTCCGAGCTTGCACTCACATTGTCCATGATCGCCTGTGTCAAACACAACACAGTTCATTGGAAAAGTCCTACAGGATCAAATTAAAAGGGTTTTCTATTATTTTATCTGTGGTGTATGTGTACGACTTAAACACCTTTCTGTCCCTTTAAGCCTCCCCTTCCAGGTTGTCCCCTCCATCCTGGATCTCCAGCAAACAACACTTCCACTGGAGATAAACAGAATTAAACACACACATACACACACACACACACACACACACACACACACACACACACACACATGCACGCGCGCGCACGCACGTACACACACACACACACACACACACACACAAAACACTGAAGACCCTAAAGCACTCTTCCCATCGACAAAATCACTCACACGATGCTTTCGGTCCTGGCGGTCCTATTGGCCCAACACGCCCATCGATTCCTGGGGGTCCTGCAAAGACAGCAGGCCATCCTCGTTCTCCTCGTTGACCTTTGTCTCCTTTGTCTCCAGTAAAGCCAAACGGTCCAAAGAAGTCCCACACTACCAAACACAAAAGCATTAACAGAACTTACAAATTTTCTCATTTTCTGTACATAAAAATTGTTTAAAAACCTTATTAAGTTAATTACTTTTACTCAGATGAGAACAACGTAGATGTTTGGTCATAGGGTGTGTGTGAGTTTGCATAAGTGTAAAAAGGGTTTGTGTCATTGAAACCACTATGAATGTGTGAGTGTGTGATCAAAAGCATTTGCTGACATGCTGGACATGTCAAACAACCGATAATTAGAATAAAAATAAATGCATGATTTCAAAGTCAGCATCATGGAGAAGAAACAGCTTCCTTAATCAACCGATCTGCTGTTTTGGTCTCACAAACCTTGCTGTTGTTGTGAGTCAGAAGCAGGAGGTCCAGGTGGTCCAGGAAAACCCTGGTCTCCAATTGGACCCCTCTCTCCTTGTGGACCAGTCTCACCAGGGGGTCCAGGGGGACCATCTTAAAAACATCAAGGTGAGTAAAACATATTTAGCATTGTAAATGCAATAGAAGACACTCAGCAGTTAAAGTTGTTTTCTTCAAAGATATTACTTGGCTATATTTTGAATCATTTTACCAGGTGTAAACCAAGATCCCGATGAAATCAACTCTCCTGGATCACCTCTGACTCCCTGTCAGAAAAATGTTTTTTTTTTTTAATCAGTGATGAAATCCCTCAGTAAAAACACTTTTTAAAATCTGATTTCAGTGGATATGAGATTATTCAACGTGGCTGCTCGTCTCACCTTAGTGCCATCTCTGCCTGTCGGTCCTGGTTCACCAGGATCGCCCTGAGGCAACAAATGAAATGAGAAAATAATGTTTTCTTTGTAATCTAAGGAAACACATCATGTAAAACGTATTTCACACAGCCGTACCCTCAGTCCAGTAAGCCCATCTCTACCACTGTCACCCTTTAAAGAAACAGAGAGCAGATAGTGTTATTTTAGAGCATGAGTAGAGGTCAACGATTGAATTAAACATGTAGAAATGTGATCGTCCTTACTCGCAATCCAGCGTTTCCCATCATACCAGTTTCTCCTTTGTTGTCAGCCTGAAACAAACCAACCAGAACAAATCAGCAGAGAGATTTCTGCATGTATAGCGAAAGATTTTACTGCATGGAGAAATGTTCCTTTATGTGCAAATATGTCAGATTACTCTGAAATGATCACATACCAGAGCTCCTATTTCTCCTTTGTCACCTTTTAATCCAGGTTGTCCCTAAAACAATACATCACAATTCAGAAGGAATCACACGAAAAGAAAAATAAGTCAGGCTTATTTCTAAGAATTCTGACTTTAATAATTCTGACTTTAATCTCTGAATTCAGACTGTAATCTCTGAATTCTGACTTTAATCTCAGAATTCTGACCTTAATCTCTGAATTCTGACTTTAATCTCAGAATTCTGACATTTTTCTCAGAATTCTGATTTTAATAATTCTGACTTTAATCTCTGAATTCTGACTTTAATCTCAGAATTCTGACATTTTTCTCAGAATTCTGATTTTAATAATTCAGACTTTAATCTCTGAATTCTGACTTTAATCTCTGAATTCTGACTTTAATTTCAGAATTCTGACTTTAATCTCTGAATTCTAAATTTAGTCTAAGAATTCAGACTGTAATCTCTGAATTCTGACTTTAATCTCAGAATTCTGACCTTAATCTCTGAATTCTGACTTTAATCTCAGAATTCTGACATTTTTCTCAGAATTCTGATTTTAATAATTCTGACTTTAATCTCTGAATTCTGACTTTAATCTCTGAATTCTGACTTTAATTTCAGAATTCTGACTTTAATCTCTGAATTCTAAATTTAGTCTAAGAATTCTGACTTTAATCTATGAATTCTGACTTTAATTTCAGAATTCTGACTTTAATCTCAGAATTCTGACTTAAAGCTCTGAATCCTGGATTTAATTCCCTCAGATTTCTGACTTTAATGTCAGAATTTAGACTTTTTTCTCAGAATTCTGACTGTAATAATTCTGACATTAACTCATTAACTGCCAGTGACGACTAAAGTCATCAATTACATTCTTTAACGGGGTGGGCCTGGGAACGAGCCCCTCATCATGAGAATAAACATCACAGCGCTAAAGCTGACCGTCACCTGCGTGTGTCACACATCATGTGATCAGAAAGCAGAACATCCTTGAATCAGGAGATCATTTTGGGACGCTGCTTTGAAAAACACATGGCGCTAACCGGAAAAGCTTCTGCTGCTCACACTTTGACAACGTAATGTGAAAGAACGGAAAAAGTTAGAAACACACTGATTCTTCCTGATGTAAGAAGTGAGTCTACTCTTTCTTTTGGTAGTTTCGGTGTTTACATGATCATAGAGCACAATGTTCTGTGAATCTTCAAAGAAAACAAACAAACTGTAAAACCGCTCTAAAACGCTGGCAGTCAGGGGCTTTCTGTTGAGATAACAACTAGCAGTTAATGAGTTAATCTCAGAATTCTGACTTTTGGACTTCTGAGAAAAAAAGTCAGAACTTTTATTCTTTTCTTTTCAGTGGACTTAATCCTCTACTGTATATAACACACCTTTTCTAAACATTTAAACATGTTACGAGATCACAACCATGAGTAAAAACAATAGCTGATTACAGGGATCGGCTGACGCTGCTGAGTCGTGTAGTTTCCTGGCGGCCCTTGTGGTCCGATGTCACCCTGTGGTTAAAGCACGAAGAGTGACAAAAAGCTGAAATTTACTTGAGAAAAGAATAAATAGTCAAAGAAAGGAATTGAACATAAACAGTTATTTACATATTAGAATGAACTAATTCTAAAGCTGTAGCTGGGGTGAATGCAGTCCTTGAAAATCACTTATATGGATGTTTATTATTTTATTACCAAAACATTTTGTTTTGAACATTTCAAATATACCCCTTCCTTATTACCCTGGAGCCTGTGTTTTACACTTTTAGTTCCCTCATGTGGCGTTACTACCCACTAATTACGTGGCTATTGCTTTCAGGCGACATCTCAAGCAGGAGATCGATGTTGAGACACTCTGATTTCAGCGTGATGATGAACAAACAGAACATCATCGATGCTGAGAGGAAGAAAGCTGAGTCAGACAGAAAGCTTGAGGAACTGCAGGCTTCATTTAAAAACGATCTCTGTGAAAATTTGGGAAACCAGGATGGAGAAGAGCAGAAGCTGACAATTAATCTGAGCTTGTCCTTAGCAAAGAAGAAGAAAATATCATTTCCATAGCGCCTCTCAAGATAAAAATCACGAGGCGCAAAGAAACAAATGGGGCAATGGCGGGTTAACCCTAAGACCAAGTAAAAAAAAAAAAAACCATGGAGGACAGAGAGACTAACCTCAACAAAAGTTGAAGAATTCCTAAACTTAAATCTCATAAAAAATCTCTGAAGAATCAGAAGGCAAATCTGATCTTGAGACTGTAGGCAGCAGAAGATTATAACAGGAACTGGAAAACGAATCGGCTGAAATCTCTGAGAAGGTAGAAGCAGTGAAAGCAAACCAGACAAAGGACTTCAGGTCCCAAGAAGACGCTTCAAAACCGCTCATCAAGCAACGAAAGGTGATTCGACGAGGAGGTCCAGAAACTTAGAACTGTGGCACTTCCATGTAATCATAAACATATAATCTGATGAGGATTAGGGTTCTGGGAAGAAAACAAAGCCTAATATCTCCCATTTGAAAAAATGGGGCAGTGTGGTGGAACAGTGATTAGCACTGTTGCCTTGCAGCAAGGCTGCAGGTTCAAATCCCAGCTGCAGTATTGCTGCATGGATTTAGCATGTCTCATGTTGGTGCAGGTTTCACCCTCTGGGCAAAAACAATCATGTTTCGGTCAATCTGTGACTCAGGTGTCCTTGTAGGTGGGAGTGAGTGTGTGAACGGTGGCACGTCTATGTTTATTTGTCCCTGTGATGGACTTGTGTCCTGTCCACTGTGTCCTCTCTCGCCCAGCTGACAACTAGACATAGACACAGTTCTGAAGATAAATGAAAGAGTGAATATTTAATCTGAGATGTTAAAATAGCTGCTGCCTTTGTCTGAAAAATAAACCCAACCCACCACGCTGACATGATTATGAAACCTTTCCACACATTTACTAACTCACCGGTTCTCCTTTGACTCCCTTTAAATATTTGGTCATTGTGCCCTGGAATAGAACAAATCCATTTTAATGTAAATTAGAAACACATTTGAATTGACTTTATTTGCAGATTTGTGGCTTTACCTTTGGCCCTGGGGGACCTGGAGGACCAGGAGGACCCTGATCGAGGACACAAAAAGGGTTTCCTTTGATCAAAATTAATTTGATTGATAACAAATTAGATGAAACCAGCTTCTTCACAAACCTTTGGTCCTATTGGGCCTCTGTTACCTTCCCATCCTCGTTCTCCCATTGGCCCCTGGAGGAATATTTAAATAAAACAACAATCAGGTGAAAGTACAGCAGCATAATGTTTATAAGTTAATAACTGGAGTAGATAATGTGTCTCACAAATATTCCACTGGATCCCGGTGTGCCTGGATCGCCCTGGTATGAAATAGTCAAAGATTCATAAATGTATTTTTTATTCTTGAAAACCAAAGGTGTGGCTGTTGTGAACTCCTCTTCCTCACCCTGAAGCGCTGCATGAACACTTTGATGTCCAGAGTGTCCCCCTTCTCCCCCTTTCTTCCTTGTTGTCCCTGCGGATAAAAACAAGCCCATTAAAAACCCTTTAGAGGTAAATAACCAAAACGTATAATCAGATGTATCGTTACACACAAGAGTTCCAGGTGGTCCGATGAAGCCGGGAAGTCCAGGTAGTCCTGATTCACCATGAGTCCCGTTACAGCCGTCTGCTCCTGGCCTTCCTCTGGGCCCGGCCTGTCCCGGATGGCCCTGCAGACATTTTAACACGAGCAGAATCAAGCCTCTGTTTGCATGTAAATTAATCTTTCTGCATTATTCTAAATTGTTTGATTTGACCCACCGGAATACCATCGAGTCCATCGAACCCTGGAACGCCGGTCATTCCCTGAAAAGAGAAAGAAGTTTGTAGTCTTTTAAAAAGGTTTATACTCTACCTTTTAATTTTATAGGTTAAAAGAAGAAATTTTTACCATACTGCCTTTAGGACCTACGATGCCACCAATTCCTTGGTCACCTTTCTGCCCCTTTGGTCCCTGAATACCAGGATCTCCTGGTCGACCCACTGGACCCACAAAGCCCTGAGGACCAAGAGGCCCAGGTAGACCCTAATTAAAAAAAAAAAGAGTTAAAATATTAAAGAGCAAATTGTAGGTTAAGTATTTTTCTAATTCATACAAAATGCTGTCCAAAAAATACTATTTGAAATGTTTATTGTGGATATTTTGTTTTAAAATGCATAATGGCACAGTTTTTTGAGTAAAAAGTGGCCTTTCTCAGTCAGACATCTGATATAAGTGATGATAATGTGGGAGGGAGGGGTAACAAGGTTGTAAACAGCAAATGACAAAGATAAACAAAAACATCACAATACAAGTTACAAAATGTAGTACATTTTTGTCTCGATCTTTTTTATTCCACCAGTGGGAGACAAAAGCTCTTTTCTTCAATCAACTTCTTACTCTCTACAGCCACCTAGTGCCCAAACTGTATACTGCCCTTAATCTGTAGAATTTGAAGGATTATAAAACAAGGTACAAAATACACAAGATAGAACAAATATTAAATAATAATAAACAATAATGCTCTTAAATTATGACCATTTGATTGATAATTGATGATGATTTATTACTGTAATTATTTTAGGATTTTCTTCTCATCTTTTCAAAGTGTTGCCTAATCTTATAGGAATTTGGTGCAGAAAAAGGAAAGTGAACTGATAAATGGTCATGATGGGCTCGCTGCAGGTGGAGTGTGTGTTAAAGGAAAGAAATTTTGGATGGAGTCCCCCGAAGAGCCACAAAATAATCCCCCCAAAAACCAACCCTGGTGTTTCTTTTGTCACTTTTCTGAACATGAGAGATAAGATACATTTATGTAGTGGTAGTGGTTGGTATACACAAACACTTCAAAGGTCACAGGACTCGTAAGAACTGGAGAACAGGATTTTTAATTTCCCCTGGGCAGAAAAACTTTAGATTTTGTTGCAGAATTTTTTTAATTGAAATTGATAAAAGTACAGGACACATAAAGTATAAATAAAACAGACATTAGAGGCACAGTGAGCGAACGAAAATAAGATGCTACATGTAGAGCAGTGTCAGGTGTTCATTTTGGGGTCGATAAAAAAAATAAAAAGAGTGGATATTGTCTCAGAACACTTTCAACCCTGCAGCTGTTGTTTGTGAAGTCATATGTTTACGTACCACAGGATTTTAAGGTTGCTGTAATCAAACCTTTACTTAAGAAGCCTTCTCTGGATTCAGATGATCCAATGAATTATAGACCACTATCTAACCTTCCATTTTTATCCAAAGGCTTGTCTTGAAGACATAAAAAATTGGATGACTCAAAACTTTTTGCTTTTAAATCCAGACAAGATGGAAGTTTTCATCTTTGGACCTGAAATTCAGAAAAGGAAATTGCTTAGTCAATCACCTGACCTGAATGGCTTTAAATGAGTCTCCAAGAACAAAGTAAGGAACCTTGGTGTTATCTTTGACCAGGACATGTCATTCAAATCCCAAGTTAAACAGGTTTGTAGGATTTCCTTTTTCCACCTTTGGAATATTGCTAAGATTAGAAGCATCCTTTCCAGGAGTGATGCTGAAAAACTAGTTCATGCATTTATTACATCAAGACTGGATTACTGTAATTCATTACTCTCAGGAAGTCCACAGAATGTAGTTAAAAGTCTTCAGCTTGTCCAAAATGCTGTAGCTAGAGTTCTGATGAGAGTTACAAAGAGAGATCATATCTCTCCTGTCTTAGCTTCCCTACATTGGCTACCTGTTAAATTCAGAATAGATTTTAAGATCCTCCTTCTCACATATAAAGCTCTTAATAATCAAGCTCCATCATACATCAGTGATCTGATTGTTCAATACGTTCCTAACCGAGCACTTCGCTCTCAGACTGCAGGTTTACTGGTGGTTCCCAGAATATCTAAAAATAGGATGGGAGGCAGGTCTTTTAGTTATCAGGCTCCTCTCTTGTGGAACCAGCTCCCAGCTTTACTCCATGAGGCAGACACCTTGTCTACTTTTAAGACTAGGCTTAAAACATTTTTATTTGATAGGGCCTATGGTTAAAATCTGATGTTAGCCTAGATCTGAACAAGTGGGGGAGTAGAGGGAGACAGCTCTCCCTTGCCCTGCCTCCAACATGCCTCCATCTAAAAGGCTAGGTTATCCAGAGTTATCTCTGTAGTTATACTGCTATAGGCTTAGACTGCTGGAGAATACACTGACCACTTTTCACACTCTACTACTTTCTTCTACTATCTGCTCTTTAACTGTATTATTCCCTGCAATTTCAGCTGTAAACTTTATTTTTTCTCTAAGTATTTTTCTCCCCAGAAGAAACTACAATGGTGTTCTGCTGAGCTGTGGTGGCCTCATGGAGGGGTCCATCGTCTTGAACCCTGTTGCTAACCATTTAATCATTCTCCCTCTCCTGATAATAACATTTTACTTTCCTTGACATTGAATGTGCTACTACTAGTTTACCCGTTTAATTATAGATCCACTAGGATAAATACAATAAAGTTTACCTCTCACCAAATAGAATATTTACTAAGAAACCACAATGTAACCATAGAAACACTACTTGGTATATATGTTGTGTGTGTGTGTGTGTCTGCTCTGCTCTGCTCTGTCTTCTTGATCTCCAGTGAGTCATGGTGGATGGCTGCTTATACTGGAGGTTTCTTCCTGTTAAAAGGGAGTTTTCCTCTCCGCTGGCATTGCATGCTTGCTTAGTATGAGGATTGCTGTAAAGACACTGACACTAGTCAGTGACTCGATGCAATTAGCTGGGCAGGGGCAGCACATGCCACCCTTAGAATCTGATTGGCCACCCCAGGTGCCACCCTACTAAGTTCCAGTTTAAATTGACTTTACATTGTTGACATAAGGCTTGGGTTGTAAACTCCAAAATAGTGTGTGGTTGCATGCACCTTTCACATTGTTTTCTTGCCCAGGCATGTACTATTAATATATTTAATATTTTTTCATATTCACATACATAGTATTTAGAGTCCCACTCAACTCCAGTTGGTGGCAGTAATGCAACAAGAAGTGACTTGCTAACCACCACAAAAGTAGAAGATGAAGAGGAAAAAAATATGGTGATTGTGCAATGTGAAACTGAAAAATTCACTAGAAAGTAAACAAATAAACGATTTGTGTAAATAAATAAATAAGCATAACCATTGGTGCCACCCATGAATAAACAAGTGCCCCACATGGGCCACCCCATTTTAAAAGTTCTGGACACGGCTCTGTAGCTGGGTTCCTTATACAGGAAACTTTTTTCTGATTGGCTTAATGAACTGACTTGTACTGGAATGTTTATTATGTGAAGTGCCTTGAGACGACGCTTGTCGTGATTTGGCGCTATATAAATAAACTTGAATTGAATATGTTTAAAAGCCATAGGACTGACACCTTATCATGACACTCCCTCTGGTGGGAGAATGCACATAATTTACCCCTTCATACCAGCTGTGCTGCATCCTGCGTCACAAGGGACACTTCTTCCAATAAAAATAAAGAAATTAACAATTTGGTTGATAACAGTACCTGGTAGTTTGAACATCTTTTCTTGAATTAATCCCGAAAGAAACCGATTTATGTATTTATGCATTGGCAGACGGAGCTGACTGAGCTTGGTCTCATCGGCCTGATCGTAAAGCATCATTTTTCTGAAGGCAAATGATTCTGTCAAAGTGATCCATTTTGCAATGTGTCACACGCAGACGCTGAATCAAAATATACGATGACACAAAGGAGGAGTTGAGTCATGGAGTCATTACTCAAACGGCAGATCCTGTTTTGGGTATAACTGAGTTATATTTGCATGGTTCTAAAGGCTTTTACAACAATCATTGAATCATTTATTATTCTACTGATGCTTGATGATATAATCTCTGTTAAGGGGGAAGTAGGGATGCTGTAGCCAGGACGAGTTTAATTTTACCCAACCTTTGAGAAATTTGGAACAAACATGTTTTTTTTGTCCTTAGATGCAGCTGGTGAAATAAATCCCAAATCCTAACATAGATCAGTCTAACCCTATTGGTTCCATACGGGGTACTGAAACCCCTTTCTCTTCTGCTGAGCTAAATCCTCTAATCAGACCCCCAAACACCTGCCGTTACTCCAGTCCTTATTGGCCATACATTGCTAAGCTGAGTCCCATTCTGTCCCGCTTTGAACTTGAGACAGTTCTCCACTCCATCTCCTCACGCTTAGACTACTGTAACTCTCTTTTCACGTGTCTGAGCAGAACCTCCCTGAACCGTCTACAGGTGGTTCAGAAGGCCTGTGCTCGACTTCTGACCAAGTCCTCCAAACACACCCACATCACCCCACTTCTCCTCCAGCTTCACTGGCTGCCATTCAACTTCAGGGTTCATTTCAAGATCCTGGTTCTGGTCTATAGGGCCTTACATGGACAAGCACCATCATACATCCGTGATCGTCTCAGTTCCTACACCCCCAGCAGGTCCCTGAGGTCCAGTGAGCAAAGCCTACTGGTTGTGCAGTGCACCAGGCTAAAGACCAAAGGTGACAGATCATTTGTTGATGTGTTCCCCAGACTCTGGAAGTCTCTCCCCCTGAGCCTGAGATCAGTGGACTCAGTGGTCTCTAGCTGAAAACTCACCTGATCAGGCGTTGGTGTGACCTTTGTCACCACCTTTTTCCTTGTTCTGCTCTTCTTCCGCCATTCCCAGGATCCACTGATTTCCCTCTTTCCTATTCATTTTCTCTCCCCCTTTCCTTACATTTTATTTAAGGCATGAATTTAATTATTTCTCATAATTTTTTTTATTTAATCATATTTTAAAAATATTTTTTACACCTTACTTTTTTTTGTTTTTGTGAAGAGCCATGACTTTTATTTTGAAGGGCGCTACATAAAAGATCGTTTTCTTTCTTTCTTTCTTTCTTTCTTTCTTTCTTTCTTTCTTTCTTTCTTTCTTTCTTTCTTTCTTTCTTACTTTCTTTCTTACTTACTTTCTTACTTACTTTCTTACTTACTTTCTTTCTTTCTTTCTTTCTTTCTTTCTTTCATTCATTACTTCCATGAAGCCTTTCCTCTGTTC